AGTACAAGTCAGTGCACAAAGAGCAAAATAATTCGTATGAAATGCATCTTTAGCAGCTTTTTAATCCACGCCCGACACCGATCAAACGATGCATGTATGTCATGCGACACAGTCCTGTGAGAAGGAATATCAAGATTTGGATGACCTGCCATTATGAGTTCAACAAACTCGCGATCCTCCACAATAGTGCTTGGACGATTGCTCTCCATGAGCCACTTGACAAGGTGAGCCCTGCAGCATCATGAGTACAAATAAATGGGCATATTAGTGTGATGCACCAGACTTCGGCATTGCTGTGGTTGCGATGTGAGACTGTAACGGGACGCTGACCTCGACGCGCAAAGGCAGCAAAGATCGACCCATCCTTGCCTGTATCGGACTTCCCTTGAATAGCAGCTGCCACTGCTGCTGTGCCAAAGCACTTCGTAGCATGAGTCTTCAAGTTTGATGTTGAAGACTTGTCCTTGGAATCTTGGTAGTGACGCACACCTTTGTACTTGTTCTTGCACTGCCGAGCAGCACAGGGGAAGAAGTGGTACTTCCTGCCTTCGTCGTCATAGTCAATTGAGACCTCTGCAAGTTTGAAGAAGGAGTAGACCGGGGAGCGCCATGAAGCTTGCAGACGAGCTTCGAATAGGTGAGCATGACTTGGAAGATAATAAGAATGCGAGAGCATACCAAGTTCTGCTTCAGGCGAGTCTTCATCGTTAGCCACCTGGGATGATGCCGCTTCAGTGGCATCATCTAGGTCAATGTCGATAAGGGACACAGGCTTGCTTGAGGTCTCATTGATCGACATTGCACTAGATGACGAGTGAGATTGAAGGCTCACTCCGCTCTTCGAAAAAGCAGAGCGAGCCTTCTTGAGAGGCCGCATGAGTGCTTTTGCACCAGCCTTGACTGACTTTGTGACCTTGGACACCTTTTGCGATACCAAAGAGGCCGCTGAGGCGACCGATGCTCGGCTTGCTGATGCACGAGGCTTTTTCTTAGAGCCCATGGTTGAGATGGAAGTGGAATTTGTGTTCAGATAGAGTAGGTTATGTATGTGAGAGTTGGAGGAACAGGACAATTGGGATTATAAATGGGGTAGCATGGGGCTTTATATACCTCAGGGTGGCAGGCTCAATGGCATGGGGAAGAAGAAATCAAAGCACATACCAGAGAACGAAAGCACTGGTAAGCATCAAAGCAATAGGTGAAAGAGGCAGTAACTATGATGCAAGGGCAATCGTAACCATAAGTCACCAAAACCGAGGTAGCAAAGCGTGCAGTGGACACAAGAAAGGCACTTGTACATAATAATTGCCAAAAGTGTGACATAGCAAAGTGTGTTTGTAGATGATGCAAACATGACATGCATACCTGAGAAGATAACCCGCCACAAACCTGCCAAACCGTATGAACCCGCCCAACCGTATGAACCCGCCCAACCGTGGCTCGGGTCAGTGGTATGACAGAGGGTTGATATCATGTAACCTGTACCCGTCACCGCCAGACCCGTTAAGCAAACACCGTGGTCTAACCCTAACCCATGTCCTTCCCTAGATACATCCAGATTCAATTGCTAAAGGGCTGTTTGAGATTACTTTGTAATCAAGGCAGCTGAAGGGATAGACTGATCACTCATCTTCGGAGAGGGGTCTGTCCGAGAGACCAATAGGCCGAGGAGGCTGAGGTAATCACTCGAGCAATTAGCAAATAGGTGTATCAGTTTGAAGACAGAAAACACTCTACGGGCTTGTTAGCCGATGATGAACGAACCCACTTAGTTGAGGATGGTGTGCAGTCTACGTGTAGATGTAGGTCACACAGAAGAATTTATCCACACTGGATTTGAACTTTATCAACCCGACTGCTCTTTTCAAGCAGTACATCGATCTCCTCCCATCTCAGGCAGAGTGGGACGCACAGAGAAACGTACACATTTTAAACAAACGACCTTTATTCATTAGACCAGATCAACGCATTGATCACCCAGGTGGCAACTACAAAGCAACTCTACCCCATAACGTTGGAGAGCTTGTACTACTACATATCGCAGACAGCGGTATACCGATCTCTTATTAAGGAGAAAGACCAGATGCCCCTTGGAACCCCCCTGTCCAGAATCCCATACCACAACCGACTCCTGCACCAATCGTACCCATTAATGTCCCACCAGTGGCTACAATTATCATGGATGAAAGTCATCACCATGTTAGCCAGAAGGAACTTGGTTTCAGAAAACCCGAGATCTTCAACGGTTCAGACCGTTCGAAGCTCAGGGAATTTATAAACCAATGCAAGGACTACATGGCTGGAAATAGCCATGTCTACCAGGAGAACAATCAAAAGATTGCATTTGCGCTGTCGCACATGCAAGGAGGGACAGCAGGATCATGGGCGCAGAGTTTCATAAAAACGAAACTCATCGATGACAACTTCCTTTCTTATGGAAGTTGGACGGAGTTCATTAGAGACGTAAACAAAGCATTTGGCAATGAAAACATTGAAGAAACCGCTCGTACCTTGCTGCATAACATCAAGCAAGGAACTCGTACCGTGGATGACTACATTGCCGAATTCCGATCGCTTGTACCGAAGGCGAAACTTGAAGATGCCGGAAATATCGAATATTTCAAGTGGGGACTTAACGACCCACTCCGACAAAGGATATATGGGATGGAAAGCATGCCCAAGACACTTGACAAGTGGTACGAATACACCTTGCAGTTTGACAACCAATGGAGATCTGCCCAGATCTTCAAGCGAGGAGCCACTACGACGACACGAGGGAAAGGCTGATCTACCCATTGTCCCTACTACTCGACCTCTACGAAGGATCCGAACGCGATGGATGTTGATCGTATCAATATCTCGCGCTTATCCTCGGATGAGCAACAGAAGAGAATGAAAGAAGGATTATGTTTCCTATGCAGAAAGAAGGGTCATATGGCCAATGACAGACAATTTCACTTCCAGTCTGGGAGTTTCACCCGTGCTAGAACAGTACAGCCCGGGTTGGACACCAATACGATTACATGGATCAAGAAGATGCGAGAAGACCTTGCACAGAAGAAGGAGATACCGAAGGAAGAAACCAGAGAGGAACAGATTGCCTATGTGCGAAACGTCTTCAATGACATGACTGATGAAGAACGAACCCAGTTGGGTTTTTGAAATGACGGCCACTAGTAACGCATGAACCGTCGTATCTTACTGTATCTCCCCTCATTATTTGTAACACTAGCAGAAATTCAATCACTGTGAATATTTTGTTGGGAGAGAAGGAAGACGTTGCAACAGAAGTGTTACGCGGCAGCGAAACACGAGCGTCTAGTCGAGTCGTCACGAGACAAGGTCTTAGTCTAAGACACAAGTCCGTTTAAGTGACACTTCTGGCGATGTCCTCGCACTGAAGGTCGATCAGAGTTCGTTCTTATGACTCGTAGTAGCTGTCTGCTACTGACGGTCGATCTCAGTCAAAGGCAAGTGAAAAGCTGGTTTAATGGTAACCAGGTCGAGATGGGGATCCAGCTCGACAAGGTCGTCTACTTATACAAAAGGTATCCGCAGTACTACGCAGTAATGCAGGATCGTTCATTGGCTAGATAAGGTGAAACGATGTCTAAGCAGGGTAACAGCGAGGAAGTAATATGTATGGGAAAGCTGAGTAAGGTCGTGAGAGATAATCAGTACTAATGGGGATAACGAGTCGTGTATCAGAACGAGGTAAAGATGAGGCATACATGCACATCTTGCATGTGCGATAAGAAGAAGGTCCGGAGTTGGATCCGGTGTAACCCTAGACTAGGGGTTCTGGACATCTGGATAAAGAATCGGAGGTTGCACTCCGATGAGTCACGTGTTGGATCACGTGGTCTGGTAACGTAAAGGGAACAAGGAAAAGAAAAAGAAAAGACGCGCCACAAGTGAGGAGCGTTGTAACATCAGCTCCCGTCTAACGTTTCTTGTCTCACAAGAAATATTGTGATCTTCATCGTCGTCGGGGGCAGTCGCGGACATAATGATCTCCTCCACATCTGTAGCATGCCCGCCGGCTGGTTCGTGATCCTTGTTCGGGGATACGTCCATCCCTGTAGGGATGACTGCGATGCGAAGAAGTGGATGCGGTCGAGAAAGATGGTTGGGATAACAGAGATCGTCCACTGGGTATGTGCGAACGAGGAGGGCAAGGTCGAACGGGAATTGGTTCTGGCGACGAGCGAGGAGTGGATGCGGGTATTCCATTAGTGGTGTATCCGAGGATGTGTCCGATGTCTTCGTCCCCATGCTCTCTCCAAATCTCCTGTGCTGTACGAGTGACCGTACTGCGCATTAATGACCAGACTTGGTCGACTCTGGTTCAGGCTCTACTCGTCCTTTCCTCTGCTGCGATGAGCTCTTGTCTAGCCGTCTGCATCCACTCGACCATTTCTAATGCTCGTTGCATGGAAACCACCGCTTGTCGATCTTGCGGGCGATTTTGTAAGGCGACGAGGATATCTGTGAAGTCGACAGGAACACGGATAGCCGAGACCAGACGTGTGGCAAATTCTTGTTCGTCCGATGCGTGACTGAGTTCGATAGAAGGTGAGGGCGATGAGGCGCGGATAAAGGGTGTCTGTGCTTGAGAGGGTACTCCATTGACAAGCGTAGGCGATGCGGGTATGCTCATAATTGTGGAGGCGACTTCAGCGAGTATATTGTGAACAAGGTCGTCTATAGCGGAAGTGGGCATTGATGATATATCGTCTTCTCCTCCTTTTATACCTTTCGGTTGTTAAGGGGATCGCGGTTATCTGTGATGTGAAATAGAATGTCATGGATCCGGGTAATAATCAAATAGATGAAAATCCATTGGACGATAAAGAGTATTCCCACAGAGATAAGAGCTGCCTGATCAGTTCCAGGCATCGTTCTGATCACCCCAGCCGTTAGCGTGCGGGCTGTCTCGCGTGAAGAGTGTGTGTTCGACAAGTCGTCTGATAAGGATTCGGTGGATGATCCAAAGAAAAGTGAGGGTTGTGCAGTGGAGGACGATTAGGAAGATGATGAGGAAAACCGTCGTGGTAGTCATTCCGGGTTTCTTCTCCTCTACTGGATTCTTCTGGTCCTTTTATATGCATCGAGGATTCGCTTGGCATTCTGTAAATTGTGGGTAGGTTCCCACAAGTTTTCTGCTGAAGAATATCCCTTCCACTTGACTAAGTACCTCAGATGACCTCGGTACGTCTTGTGATTCAGGATGGCTTCGACTTCGTACTCTTCTTCGTTATCAACGACATCAGGTGGTGGGTTCACGTAATTCGGACCATGTATGTCATTTTCGCGATAAGGAGATAGAAGGGCGGCGTGGAATACGGAATGAACTCGCCAGGTCTTCGGGAGTTTGAGACGATAGTTGGCTGGTCCGATGACTTCGACAATTTCGAATGGCCCCTCACGCTTTGGTGCTATCTTGCGCGAGGCGTAATTGACCTTCAGGTTCCTCGAGTCTAGCCAGACCTCCTGTCCTAACGTAAACTTCGGCGATCCTTGTCTGACTCGGTCCACCATCTGTTGTCGGGCTAACTCGTGCATGGCTAGTGCTTCTAGCCTTATCTTCTGCAACATGTCAAGCCTGGATTCAACCGATGGAATGTTCGTGGTCGGGAATACGGAAGGGAGTCCACGTGGTTCGTATCCCATCATAATGCGGAATGGGCTCATCTTCCGTGCCGAGTGTTCCCTTGTGTTATGACAAAACTCGAGGTCTGGCAGGCGGTCAGCCCATGTTTCAGGGTTGTTTCCGCAATAGAGTCGAAGATAGATTTCCAGCTCCTGGTTGACTCGCTCTGTTTCTCCGTCCGTCTGAGGGTGATAAGCTGTGCTCATTGATGATCTGATCTGGAGTAGTCGATTTAACTCTTGGAAGACCTTGGATGCGTATTGAGGTCCTCTATCCGAGATGATTCGGTCGGGTAATCCAAATCGCGAGTATACTTTGTCATGAAAAATCTTGGCCGTTCCTTCGGCTGTGATCGTTTTGAGGCAGGGCGTACGAACCACCCCCTTCGTAAGGTCATGGTCTACCATGACCATAATTGAATCAAAACCGTTGGAAACGGGGAGGTCGGTAATAAAATCGGTGGTGCAACAGGAAAATGGTAATGCGTGTGGGTCGGCGGGAATTGGTTCCAAAGGAATACGAGTTGGATGAGTATTCGGTTTCATTTGTTGACAGGCGGCACAGCCTTCAACATAATTGTAGACAAATGTATACATGCCGGGCCACCAGAATTCACGACGTAACAGTTCAAGGGTATTGAACTTTCCAGGGTGACCCATGGCAGGGGAGTCGTGATGTAGTCGAACGAGGTCACGACGAAGAGTTTCGGATGGTGGAACGTAGATTTTTCCCTTGTAAAGGATGACACCATCGCGAACTTCCCAGTCGGAAGGCGATGATTTCATGGGGAATGGCCCTTTGTGCGCAATCGCTTCGAGGGCTTCGTGAACAATGAGGTCTTTTGCTGCGTGATTCCTGATTTCATTGAATAGTGTCGGGGAAATGGACCGCACGAATAGTGCATTGGGTAAAAGAACGTGATCTTCGTTGTCACTTTCACTGTCATCGAGTCCGTTACGACGAGATAGCACATCAGATTGGATCATCTGAGTGCCAGGGACATGGATGAGGTGAAGATCAAATTGTGATAATTTGAGACTCCATCGTGCTTGTCGGCGGTTTAACTTCTGAGCTGTACGGAAGTACGTGAGGTTCTTGTGATCACTGCGAACTTCGACGGGATGGGGAGAGCCTTCAAGATAATGGCGCCATTCAGCGAGAGCTCGAATGATTCCGAGGAGTTCGCGGTCGTAGATTTCGTAGTTCCGTTCAGCTGGATTGAGCGTCTGTGAAATGTAGGCACAAGGATGGAGGTCTCCATTGATGTCGGCTTGGCGTAAAACTGCACCCGTAGCAAACTTGGAAGTGTCGGATTCAACAATAAAGGGTTTTGCCTTGTCAGGCAGTAACAGTACTAGGGCGGTACTGAATCGTTGCTTCAATGTGTCGAAAGCTGTCTGACATTCTGTTGTCCATTCAAAAGGTGGAGATCCAGCGGCAGTGCGCGTAAGATTCGTCAATGGTTTGGCAATATCCGAGAAGTTGGCAATAAACTTCCGATAGAAGTTTCCAAATCCTAGGAAAGAGCGAACACCTTTTACCGTGCTTGGTTCAGGCCATTCTGCAATTCCTTTAAGTTTGATAGGGTCCATGCCAATGTAGTTTTCTCGAATGATCATGCCTAGGAATTCGACTTCTTTAACGTCAAAGAAACACTTTTCCGATTTAAGGAATAAGTCGTTGTCTTTGAGTCGTTGGAGTACGTGTCGGGTTCGAATGTGATGTTCTTTCAAATTGTTTGAGAAGATGAGGATATCATCCATGTAAATGACTATCCATCCCTCATCAATCATGTCCTTGAAGAGTGCGTTCATCATCATTTGGAAAGTCGCCGGGGAGTTGCAGAGTCCAAAGAACATGACCATAGGTTCGAAAAGTCCGCGATTTGTCTTAAATGCGCCCTTCCATTGGTCACCATCTTTGATTCTGACATTGTTATATCCGGAGCGTAAATCCATTTTCGTAAAGATCGATGCGCCTTTGAATTGATCCATAAGGTCAGAGATGAGCGGAAGAGGATAGGCGTTCTTCACCGTTCCTTCATTCAGGTATCGGTAATCCTGACAGGGACGTAGTGCTCCGTCTTTCTTTTGAGATTTCGACGGTCGGATGTATCCTTTTCGCAGATTTTCTTCCAGGAAGTCATCCATCGCTCCTTGTTCTTTGAGCGATAATGGATAGACTTTACAGTCATGTGGAATAAAATCGGGTTTCAAGTCAATGGCGTGGTCCCAAGGCCTGGTTTCTGGAAAGCGTTCAGCTGCTTTCTTTTCAAAGACGGACTTCAAATCGTGGAGGTAGTTAGGGACCAACTCCTCGACGGTTTTGGGTTTGTCTACAGCTGATGCTTCCTTGTGTGCCTGTTGTGCCAATTCTTGTGATTTACCAGATGGTTTGTAAAAGACCGTATTCTGTGCATTACAGAATAATGGGGATCGAGTACTGTGTGTCATTCTTCCAATGGCGGGGCCTCTTCGTATGGTGAAGACTGCGGTTTCAGTCTCTTCATTCGTCAAAGGTGACTCCTTCCTGATGGGTTCAAATATCCCAATAACTGGCTCTCCTGCGATATAGGATATAACTAGATCGTCATCATCGAGCTGATCCATAGGGGGTTCTGATGGTGGGTCATCTGGTTCGGTATCATTCCGCACTGCGGGTAACTCGCCATGCTCAGTGTTATCGGCTGTGATTTCTCTGATAGATTCTGAATGTCCAAACGAGGTAGGGGAAGTTTCGGTGGTGATTAACTCTGGGAGTCCATCTTCTTTAAAAATCGAAACTTCTTCATCTGGTGCATCTTCGACGGTGGGTTTCGGTGGCCATTTGGCGTCTTTACCAAACCAAAAGTCACCGGTTTCCCAGTTGATCATTGGATTGAGGCGTTTAAGCCACGGCATGCCGAGAAGTATGTTTTCTTTGCCAATGCCGGTTAAGAGGAAGCGAGTAAGTGTCTTCCTTCCTCCGATTTTCATCATCTTCCAGGTACAATGAGTAATGGTGCCCATTTGATTTGGTGTGCCATCTGCATTCATGACTTTAATTGGTTTCGGTAATTCCCATCTGATGAAATTGTTTTCTTCCGCAAAATGAATGTTCATGAACGTTTCGGCTGCACCGGAATCGATCAAGGCTTCTGTTGTAACATCTTCCTTCTCTCCCAACGAAATATTCACAGTGATTGAATTTCTGCTAGTGTTACAAATAATGAGGGGAGATACGGTAAGATGCGACGGTCCATGCATTACTAGTGGCCGTCGTCTCAAAAACCCAATTGGGTTCGTTCTTCATCAGTCATATCGTTGAAGATGTTTCGCACATAGGTGATCTGTTCCTCTCTGGTTTCTTCCTTCGACGTCTCCTTCTTCTGTGTGAGGTCTTCTCGCATCTTCTTGATCCATGTGATCGTGTCTGTGTCTAACCCGGGCTGTATCGTTCTAGCACGGGTGAAACTTCCAGACTGGGGGTGGAATTGTCTGTCGTTGGCTATATGGCCCTTCTTTCCGCATAGGAAACATAATCCTTCTTTCATTCTCTTTTGTCGCTCGTCCGGGGATAAGCGCGAGATATTGACACGATCAACATCCATCGCGTTTGGATCCTTTGCAGAAGCCGAGTAGTAGGGACGATGGACAGATCGGCCCTTTCCTCGAGTCGTCGTAGTGGCTCCTCGCTTGAAGATCTGAGCAGATCTCCATTGGTTATCAAACCGCGAGGCGTATTCGTACCACTTGTCAAGTGTCTTGGGCATGCTTTCCATCCCATATATCCTTTGTCGGAGTGGGTCGTTAAGCCCCCACTTGAAATACTCGATATTTCCGGCATCTTCTAGTTTCGCCTTGGATTCAAGCGATCAGAATTCGGCAATGTAGTCGTCCGCAGTACGAGTTCCTTGCTTGATGTTACGCAGCAAGGTGCGAGCGGTTTCTTCAATATTTTCATCGCCAAATGCTTTGTTCACACTTGCAATGAAGTCTCTCCAACTCCCATAAGAAAGGAAGTCGTCATTGGTGAGTTCCGTTTCTATGAAGCTCTGTGCCCATGATCCTGCTGTTCCTCCTTGCATGTGCGATAGCACGAATGTGATCTTCTGATTGTCCTCCTGGTAGACATGGCTATTTCTGGCCATGTAGTTCTTGCATTGGTTTATAAATTCCCTAAGCTTCGAACGGTCTGAACCGTTAAAGATCTCGGGTTTTCTAAAACCAAGTTCCTTCTGGCTAACATGGTGACGTCCTTCATCCATGGTAACTGTAGCCATCGGTGGTATGTAATCGGGTACGATTGGTGCAAGAGTCGGTTGGGGTACAGGATTCTGGGCAGGGGGGTTCCAAGGGGCGTCTGGTCTTTCTCCTGGATAGGAGGTCATTATACCGCTGTCTGCGATGTGCTGGAGCACTATTCCACCAAGATTATGGGGAAGTGTCCTTTCAAATTCCTCTGGGGAGTAGTCGAAGTTGTGATTGTCTGGCCTGATGAATACAGGCCTTCCTCCTATGAAATGTGCGTTTCGTTCTGTGCTCCACTCCACTTGGGATGGGAGGTGCTCGTGGTACTGCTCTGGAAGAGCGGTCGGGTTGATGTAGTTAAAATCCAGCGTGGATAAATTCTTCTGTGTGGCCTATGTCTACACGTAGACTGCACACCGTCCTTAACTAAGTGGGTTCGTTCGTCGTCGGCTAACAAGCCCGTAGAGTGTCTTCTGTCTTCAAACTGATACACCTATTTGCTGATTGCTCGAGTGATTACCTCAGCCTCCTCGGCCTATTGGTCTCTCGGACAGAACCCTCTCTGAAGATGAGTGATCAGTCTATCCCTTCAGCTACCTCGATTACAGAGTAATCTCAAACGGTGCTTTAGCAATCGAATCGGGTGTATCGTTTAGTCTTCAAGGTTCGGTCCGGTCGGTAGTTCGTTGTTAGACTTTAGGAAGTCACAGAGAGTAACAAGATCTCGACCTAATGTTATGCGGCAGCGAAACACGAGCGTCTAGTCGAGTCGTCACGAGACAAGGTCTTAGTCTAAGACACAAGTCCGTTTAAGTGACACTTCTGGCGATGTCCTCGCACTGAAGGTCGATCAGAGTTCGTTCTTATGACTCGTAGTAGCTGTCTGCTACTGACGGTCGATCTCAGTCAAAGGCAAGTGAAAAGCTGGTTTAATGGTAACCAGGTCGAGATGGGGATCCAGCTCGACAAGGTCGTCTACTTATACAAAAGGTATCCGCAGTACTACGCAGTAATGCAGGATCGTTCATTGGCTAGATAAGGTGAAACGATGTCTAAGCAGGGTAACAGCGAGGAAGTAATATGTATGGGAAAGCTGAGTAAGGTCGTGAGAGATAATCAGTACTAATGGGGATAACGAGTCGTGTATCAGAACGAGGTAAAGATGAGGCATACATGCACATCTTGCATGTGCGATAAGAAGAAGGTCCGGAGTTGGATCCGGTGTAACCCTAGACTAGGGGTTCTGGACATCTGGATAAAGAATCGGAGGTTGCACTCCGATGAGTCACGTGTTGGATCACGTGGTCTGGTAACGTAAAGGGAACAAGGAAAAGAAAAAGAAAAGACGCGCCACAAGTGAGGAGCGTTGTAACAAGAAGCCTTGATCGATTCTGGTGCGGCCGAAACGTTCATGCATATTCAATTTGCGGAAGAAAATGATTTCCTTAAATGGGAATTACCAAAACTGATTAAAGTCGTAAATGCGGCACACCGAATCAGATGGGTACCATTACCCACTGTACCTGGAAGATGATGAAAATCGGAGGAAGGAAGACACTTACTCGCTTCCTCTTAACCGGCATTTGCAAAGAAAATATACTTCTCGGCATGCCATGGCTTAAATGCCTCAATCCGATGATCAATTGGGAAACTGGTGACTTTTGGTTTGGCAAAGACGCCAAATGGCGACCGAAACCCACCGTCGAAGATGTACCAGACGAAGAAGTTTCAATTGTCAAGGAAGACGAACCCCCAGAGTTAATCACCACCGAAACTTTTCCTACCTCATCTGGACCTTTGGAATCTATCAGAGAAATCACAGCCGATAACACTGAGCGTGACGAGTTACCCGCAGTGCGGAATGATACCGAACCAGACGACCCACCATTAGAACCCTCTACGGATCAACTTGATGATGACGATCTAGTTATCTCCTATATCGCAGGAAAACCAGTTATTGGGATATTTGAACCTATCGGGAAGGAATCGCCTTTGACGAATGAAGGGACTGAAACTGCAGTCTTCACTATATGAAGAGGCCCCACCCTTGGAAGAATGACACACAGTACTCAATCCCCATTATTCTGTAATGCACAGAATACAGTTTTTATAAATCATCCGGTAAATCACAGGAATTGGCACAACAGGCACACAAGGAAGCGTCAGACACACAAGGAAGCGTCAGCTGTAGACAAACCCAAAACTGTTGAGGAGTTGGTCCCCGACTACCTCCACGATTTGAAGTCAGTCTTTTACGATGACTAAGGTACGAAGGAATCGTTCTAGTTGGACCCTGGGTGTGACAAGAAACCGCCCCAAGAAGCTGTGAGAACAAAAATTCAATACAAAATTTGTATGAGACACCTAGGGTTAGGGTCCACTCTGGTAACAAAGTTACTTACTGCTCTGCTTACTTGTTTACAATTTGCATTCAGTCGGACTGTGAAATTTTTGTATTGAAAACCGGCGCGACTTGGCCAAACATTGCCCAATATAGCTGATAAGATCTTTATCTTATCTGTTCGCCCTCACTACTTACTCTTCTTGCACTTTTCTTCACTTTATAGCCATTTGTTTATTCATTCAATGGCATCTCTAGGCAGCAAATTTAGTATGCATTTTTATGAGAATAAAATAATATATATTCTCACTTACTTTATCTTCTTTAGCTGCTTCTATATATCAAATTGACAGTGATGTCAAGATCTACCTTTGCTTTTCTAACTCTAAGGAACACATTATATTTGTCTGTTGTATAGTCATTAGTAGTTACAATTCCTTGGGTAAAAAGGGATTATTCTTTGTAGGATGAGCCTTTCACCAACTTAACTATCATGCACTTTTTCCAGCAGTCACCAGAGGTTGGTGCATTATAGTTAGTGAAATGAGGGAAGCACACAGTAATTCTAAGATGTAGACCTTAGTGGTATTAAAATCTATGCATAATATAGTTCAGAATACTCTCTTAAACCAAGTAAATCTGAGTAAAACTGGCTGAGATACCTTAGTTTTGAATTAGAATGCTCAGCCTAAAGTGTAGAAAATTGTAAAAATTCCAGTTAAATTGTGGAATAACATTATAATGTACATGTACATGTTAGATAGGGCGCCTTATTTATTACATGCAGTACACATTGAAGAAACAAGCAGGAGTGAGAGAAAGCAGAGAAAATGGATTGTAGCACTGCAGAAAGTGAATATGATGTTCTGAAAATAATAACATCAGATTCAGCTTAAAAATCTGGTCAGAATGCCTACTGGGTTCATCAAAATCCGAGCAGAATTGAGTGAACCACAAGCCTTGCAAGTTTGGCTGGAAGTACTTCCAGCCACACTTGTCACATGTCACCTGGACCTCACGTGTTCCTAAGCTAATAAGCTTGTCAAGCGCCCCCGGTACAGCAAGCTAATAGGCTTAATTGGCCTATGTCCTGCACACTGCCGGTAACACTGGGAATATTGTGGGCTCGATGCCCAAAGCATCGAGCTTACATGATAGCACTGATAAGGCCCGTGTCGTCATCGGTGCTGATGTATAGATAGCACGTGCCGCCCCGCCGGTCATCATCAGGTACCGCCAGCTATCAGATCTCGCTTCCGCGCCCAATGCCGGTGCCCTCGTCACCGCCGTCCCCGATGACGATGATGACAATTCCCTTGTATCTTCCCCAATTCTCTCCTTTTTTTTTCGCTTTTTTGATGTTCTATGACTGTGTAGCTATACTGTAGCTTGTAATACTACAATTCTGAGTCTAATAAGTACAGGCTCATGGTTGTTGAAGGAAGTTCAACAACATCACGTGATGGACCGTTGGTCGGGGGGCGCTTGCTACCTAGTACCCTGCGCACTACTCTGCGACTCGACAATGTCCTCTAGTGTAGGTCAGCTCTAACAGCCTGTTTCAGCATGGGGGCCCACAGATCAAAGGGAGTCTCCCGAACAGTCCGAGTCACCACCTTGGTTTCCTCGGCATGCTCATCTGTGGTCGGACGGCGCATCAAGGAAGTCCATGGAACCGTGTATGGCGCGATGGCAATCGCAAAGGAGAAAAAGAGAGCGGAAGAAATGCTCCTGCAAAATATTGCTGGTGAGTACACTGCCTTGTCCAAGGTTCGACACTCATCTCGTGAGTCGCAGGACTGAGTGCTGAGAAGATCCGGGCGCTCTTGGACATGCAGGGGGATTCTGTTGTAGATGACAGTATGGACAACAATCAGCAGGACTTGCCAAGAACTGAGGAGGTGGGGGCAGCTGATGATATGGAATGGGAGATGCTACCAGATGATCTGCAAAATGACTCGACGTTCACCATGGCATTCTGAGATATCGTGGGGTCGAAGTGAGTACCCTTTAGTATTCTTTGTACACTAATTTGTGACATTACATTCAGGTGAAAACCTCGCTGGTACAAAGATATGCGCACTTGGTGGCAACGTATGCGCCACCTGGATGAAAATTGGCAGCCCCTTCTCCCGAAACTTGTAGACGCGTACTTATCCTGGCGCTATGGTCCTGACCGACCAGCTGATGAACCTACTGAAGCAACTGCCAGCGCAGATGATGGCATCGACTACAACTTCGAAATCCCTGTCCTTGACATCTACTCGACTGTCAACTCCGCGTCAATCTGCCGACCTGCACACATCGAATCTGTCGCCGAAGCTCTTGTCCTCAATGGTTACCTCGGATCAACACCCCTCAACCCAGGACTCGCAATCTCTCTCAAGACGTTAGAACTACTTCACTGTATCAGGCTCTACAAGCCCTCGTTCAGTGTTGAAGCCTTTGCAAAACTCCTCTGTCATTTTTATATGGTGAGTTTACTGAAATCCCCTGAAAGTACTTGATAGCTAACCTTGCCACCTACAGATTCCTTTCCGTCGCCGCTATTGTGCCGCGCTTGGCGATGCATTCGACATCTACCTTACGATTCTGCACATGGTCCGCAAGAAGGTCCTTAGTGCACTGGGCCGTGATATGCCCAACTGGTGAGCATTAAATGGTTGCCCAGCTTGCGGATATGAGGTGCGAGTTTCACTACATGTAGCCTGCCTCGTACTGACCTTTTCTCTGTACAGCTCAAGGATGAGCCTTCGCTTGAATTCTCGTGTATGTACTGCATGGACGGTAACAGTTCCCTCAAGCGGTTGGCTCCTGTGGGTGGGCGCCGCGCAGGAGATCTTCGGACGCTAGCCAACAGCGACTACTACCTTCCAGAAGACTTCATCGAGAAGTATGCCGATGAAGTGCAGTCGAGATGTACACTGAACAAGGTCGACATACCATTGCACCGGGATACCAATGAGGATGCCGAGAGCGACCGTGGTGAAGATCAGACACCGGATGGAGGCGATCCAACAGACGACAATATGGAGCCTGTGTCCGGTTGCACCGAGAATTGGAAGGCTGCAGCTGCAGAAGAGAAGAAGAAGATGTGGGGAGTCTTTAAGGAGACAGGTATATTTGCAAGTGCATGCAGGCACGGCCTTATTCTCTGGCTGATTGACATGGTTCGGAGCGGTGAACTGTAAGTATTTCTTTTATTTTCAAGGGATGGGCTGACAAATCATCAACAGTGCTAAACATCCTCTCGCTATCGTCGCGAAGGCTATGGAAGTATTCGGACCTCACACACTGGCAGGCTACGACATTGGTTGCTCCTTCGAGCAGACCGTTCGTCACAGTTCACTTGGGCCAATGTTCACCCACCTTCACTCGCGTTGCTGTGTCAACGCATTCCACGGTTACTTGCATTCCTACCCCTGTCAAACTCAATACCATCCGAACATCATCAAAGGGATGGGCCTTGAAGACCTGGAGACGCTCGAGCGCATCTTCAGTGCTTCGAATCTGCTGGCTTCTGTCACACGCTACGCCTCCGCCTTCCGGCACCAAGTATTTATTCTTCTTTTCTTCGAGCAGTGGGACAACGAGAAGTATTCAAATCTCAGCACGATGTTGTACAACAACTATAAGCAAGTGCTCGATATTATTCAGACACAGTCTGTTGCTCTCGCAGATGCCATGGCATCTCTCGGTGTCTGCGATGAGGACCTCAAGCTGTTCGAGTTGGAGGAGCAACAGTATTTTGCAACACTTGGGCAGGAGCCGGAATGGGATGTCTATGCCATGGCATATGTCGAGGCACTACAAGAGCTTCATGCAATAACGTGAGTGAACCACGACATCAATACGGTGCCATGCTGATCACATTTATATAGTACTCAAGTTGACGAAGCATCCTCACGGTTCCTCAATGCTACGCCAACTGACTACCAGTTCCTACCACCTACCAATGGTCCTACACGGTATGAAATGGAGATGTCGACTACTCGCAAGCTCGAGACTTGGCGGCGTTATTTACGAGAGCATCTCAATATTTTGATGCAGGAAGTCATTGCGATGGAAGTGAAGATGGGTATCACCAACCGTTGGCAGCCATCCGATGCTCCTTACGTCGAAACGGTCAAATATATAGCCACTCACAAGTATCAACTGGCATTGGGTAAGCTGCAGAGGCTTGTCATACAGCGGCTCTTTGAGCTACACAAGTTGAATCTCGCGCAGACAGGTAGGTATTTTTCAGTGGATCCTATGCCGTTGTTGTTAACTAATGCTTGAAATAATTAGCTTACTGTGTGTGCACGTATATTGCCAAGAGCCTCCAGACACGCTGCAGGGCAATCCGAAATGCCGTCACCTCATACAATGTCGCAGCGTGGCTCTGAATCCTCCACGCCCGACTCTTGACTGGGACAAGGTTTCTCACTACAGTTTTCTTGAAGAGTTCAACCTCCTGCACGATACCCGCCATGACATTCGTGAGAAGCAGTGGACGCAGCCAGCCATGCGGGAGACAATGCATCTCCACCGCCGGATCCAGCGTGCACATGAGGAAATCCAGAAGTGTAACGTTGAAGTGCGGCGCATTCATACCCACATTCGTGATGAGGACATGCTCTTCAGCACCGTCCTCGATGACCTCTGCCACCGGCAAGACCCACTGCATGGTGCTGTGCTAGAATATTGCTCTTGCCGTCGGGTAGTCAACACTCACATCCTCGCGTTCCTGCAGCGCATCTATGCACTGCAAGGCTTCACGGGCAATCCATTTCCTGGTGAATGTCTTGGTGTCCCTCATTCATTGCCGGTTGCTCATTCGGATGTCGAAGATCTTCTCTCGGCTGAGATGCATGAGTTGAATGAAGAAGAGCGCGCGGGACTGGAGCTTGATGATGACGACGAAGCAGAAGGTGACATCAGTGGTTTGGTAGATTATGTCTCAAATCTCGTGGTGTAGTTACATGATGTCTTCTGTATGTCTGACAATATAAATATATTGCGAGATTATCACGGAGGGCCTATTGTCTGAGCATTTGCAGTGTGGCAGTATCCTGAGCTGAATGCACTGGTCACTGCAGTAGGCCGCAATCTTAGAGTACGATTGGCAGTGTAAGTCGCAATGGTGCACATCGATCTATAGCAAATCACTCTCCGCGCGCGCACCTTGCTACTCGCACATCGCACTTCTATGCACATGTCTTCCGCTACGATCCACTTTTATGCTGTTATCGGTAACAACCAACCTGGCGTATATTCACCAACGCGGTGGGTGACAATCCACAAATCATTTACAAGGTAAATGGTACTCACATCTGCGAAGCCCACGCAATGTTGCTGTTAGGCATAGCAGCAGCCTGCTGCCTCTCATTGTCCGATGCACCAGCAGTGAGGATGCCCACGAAGTTTACGATGCTCTCGCGGACATGCTGCATTATGTAGGAGCTGCAAGAGACTCGATTGCGCTCATACAGTACATTACAACTTCGACAGCAATCGGGAACTTGCTGCCATTGGGCCGCAAGTTCTACACTGTCGTTTGGGGCATAAAAAATGGTATCTACTGTGATGGGGAGTGGTAAGTTAACTGAGCTCACAATTTTCAGGACACATCTTACCGTGATCACTACAGGTCGGGGGATGTGCAGCCACTGACACAATTCTCCAGAGCCATGCACATCAAGGAGAATTCGTTCCTTGCAGCCTTACTTTTTTGGCTGAAGCGCAGTGCCCCGCCAGCTGCTGCAGGTACCACAGCTGTCAACACTGCGTCACCTGCCACATCTTTGCCATCACCATATCGACGAAGTCCATTGCATTCACACACAACCATGAGCACAGCCAGTCCACACGGGCCAACACCTACGTCACTGGCCCCGATCGTGTGCACAGTGCCTTCTCCGGTGCATTCCACGGCATCATCCCATGGTCGTGCAGCAATCTCGCGTGCAACAGACATACATACCGCTGCAATGCCGTTGATGGTGGGGACTCCAAGGGCTTCATCTAGTACACAGACCGCCGTGGATGTGCAGACCCAGCGGTCCTCCAGTACACAGTCCACCATCGATGTGCAGACCCAGCTGTTACACATGATTAACAGTGAGTACACTCATCTCCCGGTGACAAACCTTAACTGATCTTGTTAGATCTCAGCATTGGAGATGATTTACGATGACGCCCCTCAACGAGCGCGAATGGCAGCTCTCCCAATGGCCTACATGTTCTCAGACAGCTCTTCTGGCATCCTGTCTTTTACGCTTCATCTCCGGCATTGGACGTGCAGGAGACTTCTGCGGAGGTGCCACATGGTCATCCTGTGTTCTTTCTCGGAGAGATGGCAGACGTCTATTTCCAAACACATCCGATGTCTCACAACGTTCTCCTGCGCATTGTGCAAGCACGCATTCATAGCAGTACTTTGGAGGAATTTGCAGGGTTTGTTGATGCCATGGGACTATCTGTGAATGCTCAATGGCTGTGGCATTTGTTGGTACTTCCTCAGGTATAGATACTCAATATTCAGGCCTCAGATCTTAGTTTCCTAAATGTCCTGTATTCCTCTATGTTTTTTGTGAATCTCCAACATAGTCACGTGAGGAATAAAAACTATGACATGTCGTTCCCACCCCACTGCTTCCCTTGCTTCTGTGATCCCCTCTTCCACCGCTGTGACATGAGAACACGGCCCTTTGACGCATGGTCAGGATGGGCCCTGATAGCTTGCAGCGCCTCCCTACCAGAGGGCGTAAACCATCAACTACCCAGACGCGCTACCCATGGCGACACCGCACGAAACGCAAGATCTTTTCCCGCACCCCTGCAGAAAAGGCTTTGCTGAAGGTGAAGCGGAAGGAGCACAAGGACGCATATCACATCGCGCTTCGAGAAGCGAGGGAGGTGGTTCTCACCAAAGCAGAGCGCCTCCATGAGCGCTTCGGTTCTCACAGTGTTGACTACTACTTCAAGGCCATCATGCAATGCTCGCGTGTGTCTGCCGCCATAATCAAGGATATATCAACGTGATGGAAGAGCATGTCGAAGGAGGAGCAAGAAGCAGCTACTGAAGATGAAGTGAAGGCTTTGGATGAGCGCCGAAGCATGCGCGCCCATGCCGAGCACAATGTCCCTCTGAGCGCATTCAATGATGCGCGAATGACTATGGCAAATATTGAGCACGAGGTACGTAGTTTTCTCATGTACTCACCGACCGTGCTGACTACTCCGCTTTTTCAGCTGGTGGCCCTTCACGATCGTACCGGCACCGAAGTCCTCATGTTCGCTGTGAGGTCGGATGTCAATCAGTACAACCAGCCTTTTATATTCTACAGCAACCCGCACTTAGCCCACTTTATTGCGACGACCACTAAGTGCACTGTACAAGAGCTTGCAATGCATATGGAAGGATATTGTATTTCCAGAGTCGAAGGCAAGTCGTCACACGGTTAATGCACCTGATCAATACTTACAGTTCTACCAGGTGTTGTCAGCAATTACGTGCAGGAAGTGCTGGATTTGAAGAAGAAGACAAGTGGGCTGATCATGCAGAAGCTCAGTAAGTGCGGCCGCAAATGTTTTGTATTAATTCTGACTGGTTTGATAGAATGAGCTGCAGTGAGAGGCTCTATCTCGCGGATGGTGTACCTCAACTTCGACACCCAAATTACCGCAAAGTTCGGTGTAGTTATCGAGAACTGGCCGTTGCCTAAGTTCTGCTGCCCCGGGGATGTAGGCTCGCATACCAAACTTGAGATCTTGTTCGGGTCCTGGGAGTCCGGTCGCACGTGCTTCCGGTCCATGCCTGATGAGGAGTGGATGCAGTGGTTGGAGCGACGGTCTCGGCAGGTGACAACAGTGGCTGGAGATGATCAGGAAGACACTGTCAGGACGCCGACACTGTGCAGGAGGCCGACACTGTCCAGGCATCTTCTGAGCTCGTGGTGCATGCTACACCGGTAGATTCCCCGTCTAACATCGTTTTGCCCCCATCCACTGGTCAGAACATGGTAGCCGCGTCCTCTGTGACTCTGCCCACCAACGACCACAGTCCTGAGACCTACGCAAACAAGCGTCCCCAGCAGGCCGATGTCACGGACGGGGCCTCTCAGCACAAACGAGCAAAGATGGGTGCACCGTTCACAGACTTTGTGAACGTCGTCTCCGCTCCAGATGGTTCGGGCCTCGTGGTTCCCAAGAAAACTCGGAAGTCGCGCAGTGACAAGGGTGTGAAGAGGGGTCCTCGGGTGAAGAAGAAGACGGCAGGGGTGGTCGAGAATGTGTCACCATCCATGATGGAAGATACAGTGCCATCCACCATGTAAGTAGGTGGCATGTCTTGTCTCCTCGATCGCCCTCCCTATCGCCTTCTCTATCACCACCACGCTCTTTGTTACCTTCACCCCTCCATAGCCGTCGCCCTCCATCACCGTCGCCCTCCATCGCCATCGCCTCCATCGCTGTCGCCCTCCATTACCATCGCCTTTATCGTCATCACTACTGCTCGTCGCCTCTATCCTTACCTCCCTCCATCGCCGCCACCTTCGCTCTGACCATCATGTTTGCCTTTGCCTTTACCCTTTGTCTGTGGCCTTCTCCTCTACTGGCACTATTTCCTTTCGTTGTTACCCCCTCCTTCCCATCGCCTCTTTCTACTTCATATATTCCCCACGGCCCTTTCATCTCACCATACTACTACACTTGTTCCTTCTTTCACATTACATCTCCTCCCCTTCCATAGGTGTGGATAGATTTAATCTCAATGGAATTAGGTTCCTTTGCCTGCCCATCATTGTCTCAAGGAACATTAGGTGCAATTACCAGTGAGTATCTGAAGAGTCTACTGTGGTGGAGCTACAGTACAGCTACATGGTCATAGAACATCAAAAAAGCGAAAAAAAATGGAGAGAATTGGGGAAGATACAAGGGAATTGTCGTCGTCATCATCGGGGATGGCGGCGACGAGGGCGCCGGCATTGGGTGCGGAAGTGGGATCCGATAGCCGGCGGTACCTAATGATGACCGGCGGGGTGGCACGTGCTATCTATACATCAGTGCCGATGACAACACGGGCCTTATCAGCGCTATCATGTAAGCTCGATGCTTTGGGCATCGAGCCCACAATATTCCCAGTGTTACCGGCAGTGTGCGGGACTTAGGCCAATTAAGCCTATTAGCTTGCCGTACCGGGGGCGCTTGACAAGCTTATTAGCTTAGGAACACGTGAGGTCCAGGTGACATGTCACTCGAGTTTCGTGCCACAGCGCCTATTTGGGTGTTAGTGAGATGACAAAAACTCGCGCTGCATCACGTGGCAGCGCGAGTTTTTGTCGTCTCATCAACGCCCATGTGGCACGTGACTTGTGGCTAGAGCAAACACTTACAATAAAATTCAGAAAAATCGCACAAATACCAGGAAAATTGTGACATTATGTAAGGTCCTTAGAAACTCATACTAGATCCCATCCTAGGTGTCAGTAGACAGTATAGCAGGCCATTGTAATGGTAACTAGGCAGTCTTGTAGGTCATTCTAAGGTTCTTACAAACCAATACTAGAGGATGTACTAGAATTCAATAAATGGCATAATGAGGCATTACAGAAGACTTACTAAACATTACTAGACACACTAGGAGTCAATATAGCACTTTGTAGGGTATTGTAAGGCTCTTATCAACTATTGTAAGCATCTTACAAAGTGATACCAGGTGACATTTTCAGACTATTCTAAACTCATTACAAACTGATACTAAAGAGCGTATTGTAAGCACACCGCGTACTTACCACATATACTCACATACTGTTTGTACTTGTTTGCTTGCGACGACACCATGTTCGAACATCCTTCGTTGCGTTCCTTACTTCTACTTATACGCAACGAAGGTATGTCCAATATTCTGTATTCCTTACTTCTACTTATATGCAACGAAGTCTTGTTCCCATTCCGTCGCTGTCTGCTTCTGCCGTGTTCCTGACCCGTGTCGGGTTCCACTTTTTTTTGAACGTTGAACAAACACTGCTGAACCGTTTCCGTAACACGGGTCACCACCATGTGCAACCACCTCCAACCATTCCGTCGAATCGTTATCTCCCAACCGTCGTTGTCCCCCTGAGGACACGAAGCCGAGCTCACCTAGAACAAGACACCGCGCTGTTGACTGCCATCGACGACGCGACCATATCACCTTCCCTCTCCTCTGTTTCCTCCCTCTCCGACATTTCTTCATCTCCTCCATCCCCCATAATCCACGAACTAGCACCCGTGGAAACTGCCGCCACCGAACCAATGCGCATATACCCACCTACGATGATGAAGAAAGTCGCGACCGTTGAGTTCCCCAAGGAGAGCCAAGCACCGAAGCTCCTTCCCGGCGATCTCACACCGTCGGTCATCAATACTTGGCAGACCGCATGTGAACGCCACTTCCGCAAGGCACAGCTCGCAGACGAACTTCAGGTATCGATGGTAGCGTCGCGCATGGATTACCCCCACCTTGCCATGTGGTACGATGCCCACCAAGGACGCCTCGATGCTCTTTCCTTCGAGGATTTCATGATGGAAGTACGCGCCACTTACCTCCCCCATGACTGGGATAGCACCATCCGCGATGAGGTTATGGGAGCGCGCCAAGGTGATCATCCCTTCTGGGACTGGGCGAATGAGATACAGTCCAAGGCAGCCATCATCTCTCGCACAACACAGGCCCTGGACAACACCGAGCTCCATCAGCAGCTTCGCGCAGGTGTCAATGCCCGCCTGAAGAAGAAAATGAACTCCCCACATCATGCACGTGAACTCAACGATATTGTCCTTTTTTCCCAATGGCTCCTCGCAGTCCAGGAACTCGACGAGGAACTCTGCGAGGAAGACGACCACGTCAACACCGCCGTCGCCAACGCTGTTGCCAAGGAATGCGCTAAACACTTCACGGCACGTCCCCTGGCCAATAAGACAAACACTGATAAGTCCTCCTCATCTGCTGGTGCCAAACGCTCTGCCGCCGACAACGTTGGCAGCACCTTCACTAAACTGCAGAAAATAACTCAGGATGAGCGCAACGTCCTTCAGAAGTACCGCGGTTGCTACAAATGCTGCTTACCTGAACAGGACCATACCTCGGCGACATGCCCGAATGGCTTCCCTGATGCTGCTTCCTACACCCCAATTTCGGAGGCTAACGTCGCAGATCGTATCAAAGCAGTCAAGGACGGAAAGCGCAAGGTCGCCGCTGCTGTGGTCCAGGATGCCAGCGAGGAACCTGCCTATGTCGCAGCCGTCTTTCCTGTAAACCAGACGTCTGTTCTCGGAGATGGTTCTGACTCGGACGACAACGAGTACGTGCCTGTCTTCTCTGAACCTAATCTATACTGGTCTTGTCTCATTGACGGACCAAAAGTCGAATCTCCCCTTCACATTCGTGCCTTAATTGACGATGGCTCCCATGCAGTACTGATTAGTGAATCTCTCGTTCACAAACTCGGTCTCCGCCGTCGGCCTCTTCCGAAGCCTGTCTCATCTGGACGCGCCTTTCATACCGCGAAGGATGGGGGGAAGTCGGTCTCATTATCATCGCATTGGGTGAAGTTAAAGTTGGACTCTCTGGACCATTCTTTCCGTTCTCTTGTCGTTCCCGCTCTCGTCATGCCTGGCCTAGAGATGCCTGTACTATTAGGTCTACCCTTCATGGCTGCAAACAGACTTATTGTTGATGCCGAACACCGCACTGTGACCCAGAAGGAATCGAGATATGCACTTCTTGCAACCCCGACAACACCTAAACGAGTGCCCACAAGTCATCCTCTCTCCTCGTCGTCTCGTGTGGTGGCAGCCACACGCAGTATGACCGAGGAACTGAGAGAACGTCTCCGTGCACAGTGACAGATTGTTGATCGTCAATGCGAAACTGTCCTGGCCGCTGACCCAGTACCATTCGTTTGCACTCGTATCGAACAACTCGCATCACAACAACATCTACTCGACCTTGATCTCAAGTACAAGCAACAATTCATTGACCGGTTCCCCACTGGCACACCGCCACTTGCTGACTTGCCCACTGATGTCTACCATCGATTCTTGCTCAAGGACCCCAGTAAAGTCATCGCCACTTGCTCCTACGCTTGCCCGTGCAAGTATCGAGATGCTTGGCAGACTCTCTTGCAACAACACCTTGATGCCGGTTGTATGCGCCCGTCCTCAAGCGAATATGCAGCACCCGCTTTCATCATCCCTAAGTCTGACCCGACCGCACTTCCACGTTGGGTCAATGACTACCGCCAACTCAACCAGAACACCGTCCCCAACCGCTTCCCCCTCCCCTGCATTGACGACATTCTTACCGACTGCGCAAAAGGAAAGATTTGGGGAAAGTTGGACATGACCAATGCATTTTACCAGACCCGCGTACACCCCGACGATGTGAAGTACACAGTGGTTCACACTCCGTTTGGTCTCTATGAGTGGCTGGTAATGCCCCAAGGATGTCGCAACGCTCCCTCCACACATCAACGTCGTATGACCTCTGCATTGCACCAACACATTGGCCGCATCTGTCATGTGTACCTAGACGACATCATCATCTGGTCTCAGTCCCTTGAAGAACACGAATGCAATGTCGCCACGGTCCTTGAAGCACTTCGCAACGCTCACCTATTCTGCTCCATCAAAAAGACCAGCCTCTTTTGTTCCGAAATCGACTTCCTTGGACACCACATCTCTGCCCGAGGAATCGAGGCAGACCCCAACAAGGTTGCCCGTATCATGGACTGGCCAGTTCCACGTAACGCAAAAGACGTCCGTGCGTTCCTCGGACTTGTACGGTACATCTCTTCATTCTTACCTCAGCTCACTGCACACACCTCCGTTCTCACTCCTCTTACACTGAAGACGGCCGACAAGGTGTTTCCCACTTGGGAATCCTGACATCAAGACGCCTTCGAGAGGATCAAGGAACTCGTACTCAGCCGCGAATGCTTGACCACCGTCGATCATGACAACCTCGGTGATAACAAGATCTACGTGACAACAGATGCCAGCGAATGGGGAACTGGTGCTGTCCTATCCGTAGGTCCCACCTGGGTCATGTCGCGACCTGTAGTCTTTGAATCCCAACAAATCTCGGGTCCTGCTTCACGATATCCGACCCACGAGAAAGAAATGTTGGCGATCATCCGCGCACTCAAGAAATGGCATAGCGATCTCCTCGGTGCGCCATTTATCATTTACACAGATCACAAGACCCTCGAGAACTTCCAGTCACAATGGGACCTCAGCCGGCGTCAAGTACGTTGGCAAGAGTTTCTCGCTGACTACGATTTTCAGATCTGTTACATTCCGGGAGAAGAGAACACTGTCGCGGATGCGTTATCGCGCCTCCCACCCGACACCGACGATGACATTGCACGTGCAGAACTGGGAATTCTTGCAGCAGTCTTCCGCATTGACACAGATCCTTCCGTCCTTGCTGACATTCGCCTAGGCTATGCCACTGACAGTTTCTGCCAGAAACTTCTCCGGAACACAGAATCTACTCCGGATGTTCATCTGCAGGATGGTCTGCTTTACCTTGGTGAACGTCTTGTCATCCCCACATATGGTGATCTGCGTGAAAGCTTATATCGTCTTGCTCATGACTCCCTCGGCCACTTCGGAGCAGAGAAGTCATACGCGACACTCCGCGATGCTTACTACTGGCACAATATGCGACGTGATCTCAAACAGGCGTACGTCCCCACTTGTACAGACTGCCAGCGCAACAAGGGGCACACCCACAAACCATCCAGGCCCCTCCACCCCCTGCCTGTCCCTGACACACACTGTAGTTCCATCACCATCGACTTCATCGGTCCTCTCCCAGAAGACAATGGATTCGATGCGATTGCGACCGTCACTGACTGTCTCGGATCTGATGTCCGCCTCATTCCGACTCGCACTGACACCACTGCGTCAGAATTTGCTGTGCTATTCTTCGACGCATGGTACTGCGAGAACGGCCTACCCGAAGACATCATCTCAGACCGCGACGCGAAGTTCATCTCTGCATTCTGGAAATCACTGTGTCGTCTCACCGGTGTAAAGCACAAAATGTCCACTTCCTTCCACCCGCAAACTGATGGCCTCTCCGAGCGCACGAATAAGACGACAATCCAATGCCTCCGCTTCCATGTCGAGCGTAACCAGACTGGCTGGGCACGAGCATTGCCTTACGTCAGATTCTGCATTATGAACACAGTCAACGCTTCCGTCGGCCTTACCCCATTCCAGCTAAGGATGGGCCGCTCGCCACGCATAATTCCTCCACTCTTCCGCGTGGATGTCACCTCTATCGCTTCGCACACATCCGAACTCGATGCTTGCACCGCAGCAGATCTCATTCGTCGCATCGAGGTCGATACTCTCGAGGCTCAAGATAACCTTCTTGCACCTAAAGTAGCTCAAGTGGATAGCGCTAACGCACATCGAGACCCCGACCCTCACTTCACGATTGGCGACAAGGTTCTACTGTCCACCCTGCACCGCCGACGCGATTACATGCAACGTGGCGATACTCGTGTAGCGAAATTCATGCCTCATTTCGACAGTCCTTACGAGATCATCGCGGCATATCCTGAAACCTCACACTATACGCTACAGCTGCCGGAGACTATGAACGTCGTCCCTACCTTCCATTCTTCACAACTCGAACGCTATCGCCCCAATGATCCCCTCCTCTTCCCGATGCACCAACCTGATCGCCCTGGTCCAATTATCACCGAAGTAGGTGCGGAGGAATGGGAGATCGATAGAATTATTGATCAGCGCCGTCGCGGGCGTGGTCTCCAATATCTTGTCCGCTGGAAAGGATGAGATGCGGAAGGCGATCAATGGCTTCCCCGTCGCGAGCTCCTCGATTGCGCCGCTCTCAATGTCTGGGAAGCTCGTCAATAATGAAGAAATATGGTGGGGAAGAGTGTAAGCACGCCGCGTACTTACCACATATACTCACATACTGTTTGTACTTGTTTGCTTGCGACGACACCATGTTCGAACATCCTTCGTTGCGTTCCTTACTTCTACTTATACGCAACGAAGGTATGTCCAATATTCTGTATTCCTTACTTCTACTTATACGCAACGAAGTCTTGTTCCCGTTCCGTCGCTGTCTGCTTCTGCCGTGTTCCTGACCCGTGTCGGGTTCCACATATTGGGACCTGACATAATAGATTATTGTTGACTTACTGAATATTACTACACAATATACTCAGAGTCAGTAGACGGCTTTGTAAACTATTGTAAGGTCCTTCTAAACTTACACTGCGGAGTATCACAGAATATTGTAGGACACTTACTAGACACAATTAGATAGCATACTATTTTTTGTAATGATTCTTCTAGGCATGTTTGTAACAGTTTCTAGTGCCATTTTTTGTAGTGATTATAGTACATTTGTAACAGTTGCTACGGTCATTTTTGTAGTGATTCTTATAGACACATATGTAACACTTTCTAGTGTCATTTTTTGTGGTGATTCTTATAGGTGCGTTGGTAACATTTTTTGTAATGATTCTTACAGGCCCATCTGTAACAGTTTCTAGTGTCATTTTTTGTAGTGATTCTTATAGGCTTATTAGTAACAGTTTCTAGGGTCATTTTTTATAGTCACTTTTATAGGCACATTTGTAACAGTTTCTAGTGTCATTTTTTGTGATGATTCTTATAGGCACTTATGTAACACTTTCTAGTGTCATTTTTTGTGGTGGTTCTTATAGGCACATTTGTAACAGTCTCTAGGGTTATTTTTTGTAGCCATTCTTACAGGCACATTTGTAACAGTTTCTAGTGTCATTTTTTGTAGTTATTCTTATAGGTGCGTTGGTAACATTTTTTGTAGTCATTCTTATAGGCACATATGTAACACTTTCCAGTGTTATTTTTGATAGTGGTTCTTATAGACACATTGGTAACATTTTTTGTAATGATTGTTGTAAACACATTAGTAACAGTTTCTAGGATCTTTTTTGTAGTGATTCTTGTAGACACATTTGTAAAGTTTCTAGTGTCATTTTTGTAATGATTCTTATAGGCACATGTGTAACACTTTGTAGTGTTATTTTTCATAATGGTTCTTATAGGCACATTGGTAACATTTTTTGTAATGATTGTTGTAGACACATTTATAATATTTTCTAGGGTCATTTTTTGTAGCAGTTCTTATAGACACATTTGTAACAGTTTTTAGAGTCAATTTTTGTAGTGATTCTTGTATACACATTTGTAACAGTTTCTAGGGTCATTCTTTGTAGTGATCCTTATAGGCACATTAGTAACAGCTTTTGTAGTGATTCTTGTAGGCACATTGGTAACAATACCTAGGGTCAATTTTTGTAATGATTCTTATAGGCATGTTGCTCACAATTTTTGTAGTGATTCTTGTAGGCGCATTTGTAACAGTTTCTAGGATCATTTTTTGTAGTGATTCTTGTAAGCATATTGGTAACAGTTTCTAGGGTCATTTTTTATAGTGATTCTGGTAGGCAGATTTGTAATAGTTTTTAGAGTCATTTTTTGTAGCGATTCTTCTAGGCATATTTGTAATCGCTTTTAGAGTCATCTTTTGTAGCGGTTCTTGTAGGCACATTTGTAACAGTTTTTAGGATCAATTTTGTGGTGATTCTTATAGGCACATTGGTAACATTTTTTGTAGTAATTCTTGTAGACACATTTGTAATGTCTTCTTATATCATCTTTCAAAGTGAGAATTGTATGCATTATTATAATACTTTTTATGGCCACTACACATGTATACTAGGTAACCTTTTTAGCTCTGAAAGTTCCATCACTTATAAAAATCATGCTTTTCATTTCTCGGGAATCATAACTTTAAAGGCTCCTGACTTTCTCAATTTGGACAAGTGTATTTTGAGGTCAGAAATCTTATAAAAATGCAGAAAAAACCCGAAAAATTAGAGGCATGGCCTGGATAACCATGGGTATCTTAGGTAAGTTAGTTTCCAATTTGGGAAACTGACTAAGCAGGCCTTCTTGTTATCCACCTCAGTATTGCAAAAGTGGTTTATCACTCAAATCTTGACAAAATCAAGTGTTCTAACTAGGTCTATTTCTTAATTTCAATTCAATAATGATGATTACAATGCATTAAACTCTATACAATGCTCTATAGGATATAATTTCAATGTTCTCTAAAATAGAGCTGTTATCTGTTATCTAATCTAAGTGCTGTGATGTACAACTACTCAGTTAGCCACTAGTCAATCAGGTTCAGTCATCATACCTGCCATGCGAAGCATTGGCCCACTCCAAACAAGTGAAAAGAAAGCAGCTGAACACTTCCCAGAAACCAGGCCTTGGGACCATGCCATTGACTTGAAACCCGATTTTATTTCATGTGACTGTAAAGTCTATCCATTATCACTCAAGGAACAAGGAGCAATGGATGACTTCTTGGAAGAAAATCTGCGAAAGGGATACATTCAACCATCAAAATCACCCATGGCCTCACCATTCTTCTTCGTTGGAAAGAAAGACGGAGCACTACGTCCCTGTCAGGATTACCGATACCTGAATGAAGGGACGGTGAAGAATGCCTATCCCCTCCCGCTCATTTCTGAACTCATGGATCAACTCAAGGGTGCATTGATCTTCACGAAAATGGATTTACACTCCAGATATAACAACGTCAGAGTCAAAGATGGTGACCAGTGGAAGGGCGCATTTAAGACAAACCGCGAACTTTTCGAACCTATGGTCATGTTCTTTGGACTCTGCAACTCCCCAGCAACTTTCCAAATGATGATGAACGCACTCTTCGAGGACATGATCAACGAAGGATGGATAGTCATTTACATGGATGATATCCTCATCTTCTCGAACAATTTGAAAGAACATCACATTCGAACCCGATACGTACTCCAATGACTCAAAGACAATGACCTATTCCTTAAACCGGAAAAGTGTTTCTTTGACGTTAAGGAAGTCGAATTCCTAGGCATGATCATTCGAGAAAACTACATCAGCATGGACCCTATCAAACTTAAAGGAATTGCAGAATGGCCTGAACCAAGCACGGTAAAAGGTGTTCACTTTTTCCTTGGGTTTGGAAACTTCTACCGGAAATTCATTGCCAACTTCTTGGATATTGCCAAACTGTTGATGAACCGTATGCGTACTTCTGCTGGATCTCCACCTTTTGAATGGACAACAGAATGTCAGACAGCTTTTGATATATTGAAACAACAATTCAGTACTGCCCCAGTGTTGTTGCTGCCCAACAAAGCAAAACCCTTTATTGTCGAATCCGACACTTCCAAGTTTGCTACAGGTGCAGTTTTACGACAAGCCGATATCAATGGAGAACTCCATCCTTGTGCCTACATTTCACAGATGCTCAATCCAGCTGAACGAAACTACAAAATCTACGACCGCGAACTTCTCGGAATCATTCGAGCCCTTACTGAATGGTGCCATTATCTAAAAGGCTCTCCTCATCCCGTCGAAGTTCGCAGTGATCACAAGAACCTCACGTACTTCTGTACAGCCCAGAAGTTAAACCGCCGACAAGCATGACAGAGTCTCAAATTATCACAATTCGATCTTCACCTCATCCATGTCCCTGGCACTCAGATGATCCAATCTGATGCACTATCTCATTGTAACGGACTCAATGACAGTGAAAGTGACAATGAAGATCGCATCCTTTTACCCGATGCACTGTTTGTGCGATCCATTTCCCCAATGCTATTTGACAAAATCAGAAATCATGCAGCAAAGGACCTTATTGTTCATGAAGCCCTTGAAGCAATCACGCACAAAGGGCCATTCCCAATGAAATCCTCGCTCTCTGACTGGGAAGTTCATGATGGTGTCATCCTTTACAAGGGAAAGATTTATGTTCCACCATCCGAACCTCTTCATCATAACCTCGTTTGACTACATCACGACTCCCCTGCCATGGGCCACCCTAGAAAGTTCAATACTCTTGAACTCCTACATCGTGAATTTTGGTGGCCCAGCATGTATGCATTTGTCAACAATTACGTTGAAGGCTGTGCTGCCTGTCAACAGATGAAACCGAATACTCACCCAACTTGTATTCCTTTGGAACCAATCCCCGCAGACCCACACACATTACCATTTTCCTGTTGCACCACAGATTTTATCACCGACCTCAGTAGACCATGACCTTACGAAGGGGGTGATTCTTACGCCCTGCCTCAAAATGATCACCGCTGAAGGGACAGCCAAGATTTTTCACGACAAAGTCTACTCGCGATTCAGATTACCTGACCGAATCATCTTGGATAGAGGACCTCAATATGCATCTAAGGTCTTCCAAGAGTTAAATCGACTATTCCAGATTAAATCATCAATGAGCACAGCTTATCACCCTCAGATGGACGGAGAAACAGAACGAGTCAACCAGGAGCTGGAAATCTATCTTCGACTCTATTGTGGAAACAACCCTGAAACATGGGCCAATCGCCTACAGACCTCGAATTTTGTCATAACACGAGGGAACACTCGGCATGGAAGATGAGCCCATTCCGCATCATGATGGAATATGAACCACGTGGACTTCCTTCCATATTCCCAACCACAAACATTTCATTAGTTGAATCCAGGCTTGACATGTTGCAGAAGATAAGGCTAGAAGCATTAGCCATGCACGAGTTAGCCCGACAACAGATGGCGGACTGAGTCAGACAAGGATCGCAGAAGTTTACACTAGGACAGAAGGTCTGGCTAGACACAAGGAACCTGAAGGTCAACTATGCCTCGTGCAAGATAGCACCAAAGCATGAGGGGCCATTTGAAATCGTCGAAGTCATCGGACCACTATCGTCTCAAACTCCCGAAGACCTGGTGAGTTCATTCCATATTCCACGCTGCCCTTCTATCTCCTTATCACGAAAACGACATACATGGTCCGAATTACGTGAACCCACCACCTGATGTCGTTGATAATGAAGAAGAGTACGAAGTCGAAGCCATCCTGAATCACAAGGCATACCGAGGTCACCTGAGGTACTTAGTCAAGTGGAAGGGATATTCATCAGCAGAAAACTCGTGAGAACCTGCCCACAATTTACAGAATGCAAAGCAAACCCTCGACGCATATAAAAAAACCAGGGGAATCAAGTAAAGGACAAGGAAACTGGAATGACTACCATGATGGCCTTCCTCATTATCTTCCTAATTGTCCTCCACTGCACGACCCTTGCTTTCCTTTGGATCAACCACCGAATCCTTATCAGATGACTCGTCGAACACACGCTCTTGACACAAGACAACCCACACGCTAACGGCTGGGGTGATCAGAACGATGCCTGGAACTGACCAGGCAGTTCTTATCTCTGTGGGAATACTCTTTATCGCCCAATGGATTTTCATCTATCTGATTGTCACCCACATCCACGACATTCTATTTCACATCACAGATAACCGCGATCCCCTTAATGACCAAAAGGTATAAAAGGAGGAGAAGACAATGCATCATCAATGCCCACTTCTGCTATTGATGACCTTGTTCACAACATACTCGCTGAAGTCGCTTCCACAATTATGGGCACCCCTGCATTGCCTACACGTGTCAATGGAATACCCTCTTGAACACAGACACCCTTCATATCCGCTTCGTCACCTTCACCTTCAATCGAACTCAGTCATGCATCGGATGGACAAGAATTTGCCACACATCTGATCTCTGCCATCCATATCCCAGTCGACTTCACAGATATTCTCATTGCCCTACGAAATTGCCCGCAAGATCGACAGGTGGTGGTTTCTTTGCAATGAGCGTTAGAAATGGTCGAGTGGATGCAGACGGCCAGACAAGAGCTCATTGCAGCAGAGGAAAGGACGAGTAGAGCCCGAACCAGAGTCAACCAAGTCTGGTCATTGATGCGCAGTACGGTCACTCGTACAGCACAGGAGATTTGGAGGGAGCATGGGGATGAAGACATCGGGCACATCCTTGGATATACCAATAATGGGAGACCTGCATCCACTCCTCGCTCATCACCAGAACCAATTCCTGTTCGACCTCACCCTTCTCGTTCACATGTACCTACTGGTCGATCCCCACTATCGCAACCCTCCTTCTTGCATGCATCAACTTCTTCGCATCGCAGTCACCCCTATCGTGATGGACATATGCATGAACGAGGACCATGAACCAACTGGTGAACATGTCACAGATGTGGAGGTGATCATTATGTTCGGGACTGCCCCTGACAATGATGAAGGCTACAATATTTCTTATGGGACAAGAAATGTTAGACAGGAGCTGATGTTACAATGCTCCTCAGTTATGGCACGTCTTTTTCTTTTCTTTGTTCCCTTTACTTTACCAGACCACGTGATCCACCAGGTGACTCATCGGAGCGTAACCTCCGATTCCCTATCCAGACGTTCAGAACCCCTAGTATAGGGTTACACCGGATCCAACTCCGGACCTTCTTCTTATCACACATACAAGACGTGCATGTATGCCTCATCTTTACCTCGTTCTGATACACGACTTGTTATCCCCATTAGTACTGATTATCTCTCACGATCTTACTCAGCTTTCCCATACATATTACTTCCTCACTGTTACCTTGCCCAGACATCGTTTCACCTTATCTAGCCAATGAATGATCCTGTATTACTGCGTAGTACTGCGGATACCTTTTGTATAAGTAGACGACCTCGTCGAGCTGGATCCCCATCTCGACCTGGTTACCATTAAACCAGCTTTTCACTTGCCTTTGACTGAGATCGACCGTTAGTAGCAGACAGCTACTGCGAGTCATAAGAATGAACTCTAATTGACCTTCAGTGCGAGGACATCGCCAGAAGTGTCTCTTGAATGGACTTGTGTCTTAGACTAAGACCTCGTCTCGTGACGACTTGACTTGACACTTGTGTTTCGCTGCCACGTAACAATGTCGACGCGCTTGCAGAGCCATACTTGAGCGCACTCCGAGTCTACTGGATGCTCAGCATGCCATTTACTGCAGGATGAATTAGCTCGTTGGTCTCGATGGCATGGAAGTGGAAGGGCAGCATAGTGTGCTCAATCGCGATGACGCTCTTAACGGCCTCATCGAACGTGCAACCCAGGTTCAGCATCAAGGCCAAGGCAGCGGCACCGAGGCAGGACATATCCTCGACAATGACGATCTCCAGCTTATCACCTTATGACTCAAACATCTCGTGCAGGTGCCTCGCCTTGCTGTGGAAACATACAGTGCTGCGCACAGTGTAGCCCTGCTTGAGTAGCGTATGCACCACTCAGATCACGATGTAGCTGTTCGTGCCCGTGACGACTCGGGTACTTTTCCAGTTCTGAGGGTGATGGCAGGCATGATCTGAGGGGGTGGTCATGAGATGCCGGCGGCCAGATCTCGACATGAACTTCTCTACAAGAGCCAACACTACCAGTGGAAACAGCTGTAAACCCCGGGTAGTCAAGGATCCAGGACTCACACATCAGGCTTCAAGGCCTCAGGCCTCAGGAGCATCAGATGGGCACATGATCTAAAAACAAACACCAAAAATGGTTGAGTTTCGCCACTCTCCGCACTTACTTTGAGTCACATCCGTTCATGAATTACATCTCATTCGCTCACTCATCGAAGCTTCTTTCCTTCTTTCATTACTCTAATGAGCAAAGACCTGCCTTTGCTTGTGTGTCAACGTGATAAAGAGCCCCGCACAACAGGGCATGAAGACTGTATTGCTCGCTTGAGCGAAAATGTTGGCAGAGGTGAGACAACGGCTAAGAGTATCAGCAGCAGCGAGACAGGACACGAGAATGGGAGGCAAATATGAGAATGGACCGCAGCACAGTGTTCTGCACTGTCGAAATGTGGTGTTGGAGTGTGGGAAACATGTGAATACTTAGTCGGATGCATGCTACGCCGCTTACGGGATGACAAAATATCCAGTCAGAGTGTTGGCTGAGGCAGGGGGAGGGTATTATTTAAAGTATATGCCATTGTCTTGAGACTTGTGATACTAACCTCGGCCCTCACAGGTCTTCACAACACGTCTGGCATGTCCATCACGAACTCGCCAAGGCCGCATTTGTATGCGTAGTGCATTTGTCGGACGTCCAAAATCCGGGTGAGATCGTCCGATGCACACTGAACAAGACTGCCTGGAACACTGTGATTGCAAGAACATCAGCAGCAGTGAGACGACACAAGGATGTGGTACACACCTTAGAAGAGACAGCAGCTTGCACAGTACTTGTGGTGCTGTGCGCCACTCGCGGGCCTTTGAAATATAGTGTCAGAGAGATGACAGGGTCTCCGAAAGTACCACAATGCATGGGGCATGAACACCCACAATGCGAGTTCACCTCGGCAAGGGAAAGATATTGAGGTATGTGCTGTCCTCTGAGGAGCCTTCAGGATCACAATACTCACTGCACTACACTCCACGCAGATCCTCACCCTGTGCCCATTCTATCAATTAACAACTGGGCAAGACCTTCATACACGGACTGTGCACGTCACTCGCAGGAACTCCAAGAATCGAGTCAGATTGTCTGCACAGTGTGGGGTGAGTCTTACTGTTTTGTTTATGTAGTGAAGGGAGACTGTCTTATGTTACTCACAATGTTAAATCAGGTACTATTCCTATTCTTACTGCACAGTAGTTACACTTTGTATGTACTTACCTGTAATAAAAACTGCCTTGCCTTTCATTTGTGCATTGACTCAACCTTGAGTCCGACTTGAATACCTATTGACTGGCTTGAGAATGACTTGACACCACTTTTTCAAGAAATGAACCTTATGATTCAAGACATGCCATCTTGGGCACTGATCATCTTGATCATCTTAATAAGACCGGTAAGACTGATAAGACAAATTGACCATTTTGCTGATGTACAGCGTGCAGCAGATATAGCAGCCTGGAAGCTATGGCATAAGCTATCTAGGCTCTGAGAAATATCACACTTCAGTTATATTAGTGACACTCTGTGGTAACCAGCTATGCACATCTATTCCATGTAGCCTGACAGTAGATACATGCAGTAGCACCATCCCGATGTGCTCACATCCCCTCCTACATCCATGAAACCTAGTCACATGTACTGCAAAATAAACTATGCATCTTGAAGCTTGATTGTCTGATGGGATTCTTCTTTCATGCTGTTTGATTACCATATACCTGTCAGTAGAATCGTCGAAAGAGCAGTCCAACTTTGAACAACAAAGATGCCTTCAATGGCACCCTGGTGGAATTAGAATCTGATAAGCTGGGTAGAGAGCAAAACATACCGAATCTTTAACAATATATGTTGTACATTCAATGGAAGGACTGGCTGAGTCATAAAAGTCACCCAGTCTCTACTGCAAGGTGACGGCGATGGCGTGTTCACCAGAACTCTGTTTAGACAGTGATCAATGGGCCCATGGAATTTGTGAAAGGAAGGGCGAGGGACCTGCAAATCCTGAGGTCATAGAGAAACTGTGTTATGCCAGGTGGACTTGACATTTGGCATGATGCTGTTGCATCCATGGCGGCCTGAGTGCAGCAAGTTACATAGCAAGCTCAAAATTGCTACATGGAGTAGCCATTATAACTGCTGCAAAATACCCCAGGAAGCTTAGGTTGAGGGTGTGTACTAATGTGGCATAGCATGTGTAGCAGATGCTTGGAGATTGGTGGGATCATGCACTGAATGCGATGTACAAGCTATATTTGGTGGCTCACATCTCCTACTTCAAGATTTATGACATAGTAATGGGGTTCACAGCTATGTTCGCTATCTGCACTACTCTGCCTATCTTCACATTGTGATTTGGACTACTCATCAAACTACATATTCTATCTGGAGTAGCCTATTTGTAGCAGACCCCCTACTAGAATGGCGAAAGGAGCACATTGTGGCAATTGTAGTGGTTTGAAAGTGTGGAGAAGACTTGGAGGTTCAGTCAGGGAAAGGATAGATGAGAGGAGAAGGGCTGGTCTTTGCACGTGCGGGCTCAGGCATACCCTTGCCATGAAAGGCAAGATTGCTCTGTTGGGCGTGACATATCACCATTTCAAATTTCAAATTATGCATTCCATTCGTGTAAGTTAGTATTGGTTGCAAATTCAGTGCACACCTAGCAGGACTGAAGATACCATTGTCCAGTTCTGAACCACAAGAACCGGTTCTGAACCCTGGACCGAACTATGGTCCAGTCCACCATTGGTCAGGTTCAGGATGGTTTAGAGCTGGTCAGGTTCAGGTTCATGAGGATTGAGGATTGTCCAAACCACATGTGAACCTGGTCGAACCTGGACCGAACTGTGAACCCATATATCTTCTCTTGTAGGAATACCTTCATTTGAAGCTATCTTTTGGAGTGTTGAGTTCCTCATCATTGTCAGTTATAAAGGATAATCTTTAGTGCTTATAAGTTACAATTAAGGATGAAATCCGGGTTTAATAAGCAGGTCATGTACAAGGATAATCTACCGAGATTATCCTTGGATTATCTCAAATCACTTAGGGTGCTTTAACCCTCCTAACATGCTGTACATAGTAGGATTAGACATGGATAATCCTATGATTATCTGCTATATATGATCCCTCAACTTGTAAAAGAGAATGATAATCCAAGAGATCATCCTCTTGTATAATCTCCACTAATGTAACTAACACAACTCATACCAGCAGATTATCCACTGTTAAACATCATAAGAATTGAAGGAAGATGAGCAGGTGTTGTAAGGGATTATCTAAGGATTATCCTGTATAAATAGCATAGGGATCAACAAAGGATGAGTGGGGGTTTGTAAGGGATTATCTAAGGATTATCCTGTATAAATAGCATAGGGATCAACAAAGGATGAGTGGGGGTTTGTAAGGGATTATCTAAGGATTATCCTGTATAAATAGCATAGGGATCAACAAAGGATGAGTGGGGGTTTGTAAGGGATTATCTAAGGATTATCTCAATCATGAAACAACAGAACGACACTGAAGAATAATAGTAAAGGCATGCGCGGAGAAAATGCGACTGAACCTTACACCAGCCTTACTTCGAGAATCTCTTGCATTCAGTAGGGATAGCGATACGGGTAGACTTGCGCAGCAGAGTCGCAGCCCGTGTTAGTTGCTTCTCACCGGCAACACTGCCTGTGACACTGTAGATACAATGAGAAAGTGTGTAAAATAAGTAATGATAACGTACCGAGGTCTCTTTGCTGGAGCCCGACCGCCACCCTTCGCGTTCTATGCAGACTCGGGCTCACTGTAGGTATTCTATTAGTGACAAATAAAGCGATTACATGACAGAGCACGCACCGTGGAGGTTGTTTGCGCTTCCATCCCCTCCTCATCTTCGCTGCCTTCACTACCTTCTCGCCATCCCGCCTGTCCTTGAGGCGCACATCCGGATCATCCTCGCCTTCCGCATCTGTATCGCTGTTGAGCTGACTGACATCATCATCATCGCGCTGTCCTCCGTCGTCGTCGTCGTGGTGTCCACTGTCAACACCATCGTGCTGTCCTCCATCGTCATCGTCATAGCGTCCACCCTTCGCATTCGGTGCAGACTCAGGCTCACTGTCAGTATTCTATTAGTGACAAATGAAGTGATTACACAACGGAGCACGCACCGTGGAGGTTGTTTGCGCCTCCATCCCGTCATCGTCTTCACTGCCTTCGCTACCTTCTCGCCATCCCGCCTGTCCTTGGGGCACACATCCGGATCATCCTCGCCTTCCGCATCTGTATTGCTGTTGAGCTGACCGGCACTGACATTGTTGTTTTTACGCTGTCCTCCGTCATCACCGTTGTGATGTCCTCCATCATTGTCATCATTGTGTGCACCCTTAGTGGTCGATGCAGACTCGGGCTCACTGTCGGTATTCTATTAGTGACAGATAGTGGTTACACAATGGAGCACGCACCATGGAGGTTGGTTGCACTTCCGTCCCCTCCTCATCTGTCCTCCATTGACATCATCGCGCTGTCCTCCATCATCGTCGTTATCATGTCCACCACCGATGCTGTCATGCTGTCCTCCATCGTCATTGTGGTGCTGTCCATCAACACCATGTTCACGCTCGCCCTCGTGCTCTCCCTCGCCATGCTTGCAGTCACTTCGGCATTTGTTCTCCTTCGACACACGAGCGCCCTTCAACTTTGTAAGGTTAAGTTTCCTGCGCGATGGGGAGAGGACAACTACACTATCATCATCGTTGTCATCCTCTTCCGACTCAAGAATTATGACGTGGCCGCCATAGGACAATTCACCTAGAATATTGACGTTCTTGTGACCTTCGATGTCTTCAGAGTGTACCACGAAGTGGAAGGCTGCGGCAGTATCCTGACAGTCGTGCATCCAAAGGTAAAGGGCCATGACTTCCACGGCCTTCATCTTCTCTGGATCCCCAAGAGATCCATGCCACATCTCGGGCACTACGTCACACACGAGATCGATGAGCTCGTTCCATGGGAGATCGGGAGGATCCATGACTGGATGATGAGAAAAGTCTATTTCACATAGTTAGTACGATAAAACATATTTCAAAATGAGAAGTACATACTCCATAAACCTTTCAAGTATTCCTTGAGGGTCTTCCTCATGTGCACGGGGGTCCAGTCATCCTCTATTTGTAGAAGAACAGGCTTGCCAGTCACGTTGTCAGCCTTCCGGTTGACAGCTGTGGGTACTACTGTAAGGTTTAGGGACCCAGGCGAACGCACAGCCTAAAACTTACAAAACACTTGCTCCGCAAAGCGCATCCACTGCAAGTGTTCGGCTTCGCTACCTACCCCCTTCGAATGTTGAAAAGTGTCCCGATTCTTGATTTGGCATAACGTCCATGCTGAGAATGACATGAGAACGAGATAATACAAACAAGGGTGTGAACTTACCAAGTGAAACGAGTAGCTCCATCTCGGGGTTTGTAGACCATCTTCACATGGAAGCTGACATCCTCACCGGCTTGCCCATGTTCACTTCCAATCAAGACCTTCAGACCCATGGCCACTGTGATGAAGAGGGTCTCCTGGTTGCTGCCGTCACTGATGAGCTTCGACAATACCAAAAATGTGCTCTGGACTTATGCAGCGATGGCCTCATCGAGGCTCATATTTTCCTCCTCCCTGCGCAGCGCATCCGCTTTCTCGGCCCACTCCTTCTGCTCCTCCACTGGCAGCTTCTTGAAAAGCGAGGCCTTGAGTGAGGAGATAAGTCCCAGGTGGTTGCCATCGTTCACTGCGCCGCTCGCCTTCTCGCATTCCAGCGAAGCATTCCATACCTTCTGCCTCTCCTCAGAATTTGCCCACAATGCGCTGACACCATCGTGACGGACGCGCGTAGAAAATAGCATGCATGCGTTGGGAGGAACGCGTCTGCCACCTTGAATCTTCCGAACTCTATCGTTCTTGAAGAAGTGGAGAACCTTCTGTATGTCAATTCCTTAGCATATTTGAATGAAATACTGACGAGAGTAACACTCACCTTACGAACCGTCAATAGTTGCATGTTCTGAAGGCGAGGAGAGGCCTTCTGTAATGCCTCCACCGTAACATCGAGGAGTTCCTTTCTTTGCATGCTGCCGAGTTTGAACACCTAATACTCTGCATGTTTTTCGTCGAATATGCTGAGCTCGCCCGGCTTCCAACTAATGCGTTTACTATTGTCAAGCGAGGTTGCTGGCATTGTCAGCGCACTTCTGATACAACGAGGTGAGATTAACTCACCAGCATTCCACGGTTGTGATCTTTAAACATTCCTAGTGGATATACCTGCTCTTTCGATAACGCCGCACCTGAGACATGGTAACCCTGATCGGACTCGTTAGTTTAGCCTCGCGATATGCAAAATATAGTGTTATTAGCTGCATTACCACTAAGGATGTGCCAATGCTAAGTGGAGGATCTTCAGATTGAACGCACGCAGATTTGATCTCACCAGGTTGAACTACACGAACACTTCCCCATTCAAAAAGTAATATCTATCTTCCTGTTGAGACTCCGGTTGGGTGAGCTATTCCGAATTAGGTCAGTCTACATTATATAGTGGATCTCTTTGCCTTCGACAATCTTGATGACCTCACCCGGAACGTCGTCATTAGGCACAATCTTCGCCTCCACCTCATTGTCCGTCAGCTCTATATCATAGTCTGTTACCTCACGCGCCTTGCTGTTGTCCATCTGTTTCGATCTCCTCCCCTCCATCTCCATGTTCGGTGATAACGCGCACTTGCCCACACGCGTGCTGGAGCTCAGGCTACTCCCGGCCTTGGAGTTCCCGCTGGTCGAAGGAGTTGAAGGGATATACCGAGAGCCAGACGAAGAGGATGATGGAGTGTTGGGATCGCTCTTCACGAACGTGTCCACAGTAGCCAGGAGCGCAGGGAGATGCGTGCTCACTGCAGCCTGTATGTTAGAGATCTGAGCTTCAGTCGAACGCCATGTGCTCCCCTTCTCGTGGTAGATGAGGATGTCCCCAGGTAGCAAGTACTGCTTGTCGGCGTGCTTCGGATAATCTGTAAACTTACGCAGGTGAGGGCAGTAGCGCTGGTAGGGCAACAAGCCTCGCACGTCATCGACGAGCACGGTCTCGATAAAACTCTGCTTGAAGGTGAATTTGAGGTAATCGTGGCGAAGTATTCCCCGTGCTGGAATAACGAGAGGAATGTCTGATCCCTGAATAGAGCATTAGCATGCTTGGCATCAAACACTAGACAAGACTTACCTTGCATACCACAAGCACCGAGACATTGCCAGAGTCCAATGGAGGACGCCCACAGTGACACAAGGCTGGCGACGTGATGGGAGAACTCGGCGGCAAGCTAGTGTCAACCATGGGGCTCATCGGCGGTGTCGTCACCTCAGACTTGGGGCTGTCAGAGCGCAAATAGGCCGCACCACCGAGTATGGGGTGCGGGCAAAGCACAGCGACATCCTCATGGCATTGCGCCATATTGGCCGTCGTCATTTGCGCTCAGAGCCGCTTGAGATGGCGGGCACATTTTGGAGTCGCACGACACTGGGCAAAGGTAAGAAACTATTCAGTAGCAAGATTTTGAACCATGCTTACAATCTCGAAGAGCATGCCGAGGTTGTCCGTGTTGTTAATGCCATAGCTTGCCACGATGGCATGGCGTTCGTCGGGCTGGACAGCACACATTATTAAGGATGAGACCAGGACATCACACTAAGGCAGGAAGCCGTCAACGATGGTTTTGACGCGAGGATTGGTGTGAACGGGAGCCATATTCTGGAGCTGAAGGTCAGTGCATTCATGGCTGGCATTTTATACTGTAAGTTTTCGAGCAAATATATGTACACAAAAAGCGTCGAGCCATCCACTACTGCAGATCTATCGGGGAGGGGCATTGCGTGCGAGCTGAAAGCCTATGGGAGACAGCAATGAGTAACAAAGGTTTAGCACGCAACATAACTACTTGGCCTGTTTCGCTATTGCAGATCTATCGGGGAGGGGCATTGCGTGCAAACTGAAAGCCTATGGGAGAGAGCAATGAGCACAAGAGGGTATAGTGCGCAACATAACTACTTACCCTAATTCCGAGCACAACTCAACACAGTAAGATCATTGGGAAAGAAAAATCACCCAAGAAGTATTGAACACACAAAAATGCGAACATGTCATTCATACAATGATATACAAAACAACAATCTGCGAGCAAACACGAACGGCGGACTAAGCATATTGGATGGGCGCGATGGGCAGATGGTGGAAGTGACGCACGAACATCGTCATGTAGAATCGGACAACGTTCTCTTGCAAGAGATTGTATTCGTCCGCCTCATAGGCGAGGACCTTGTGCGCATCCAGTCGTAAGCCTTCCAGAAGTTCTGGCCATCGCTGCATAACGGCAATGAAAGCGGCCAAGAATTTTTTGCACGGCAGCCATCCCTGCGCAGGAGCATGCACCCAGCAGAAGACAATGTCGCGTGAGTTCTAATATGGTGCGACTGTTAGACCTGAGCCAGAGTCCCACTTGTCCCACACTTTCGCGAGTTGCACCTCGCGTTCCCAGCGGTGCATGGAGCTCCACTTGCTCATGTCCAATAGATGAGTGTCCAACGCACGCAGCTTACAACGCCAGTTGGTCTCGTGAACCTCCCACAACAGCTTCTTGCACAGCTCGTCTACGTCATCCACTGAAATTAAGTCCATGCCAAAATGCGGTTGCACAGTCTCGATGTAGGAGCTCATGCAGCTGGTCGCAGCAAAGAGACGGTGAATATTCTGCTGTTGCTCGTGCCTATCCTTCACCTTTTTCGCAGAGCCAGCCTTACTCATGGAATTCACTTGCGACATGGGGCCCGCGGCATCACTCGTGCGGATTGGGCCCTCAGTCGCCCCCATCTCACCCTCTACAGAGGCATTGACACTTCCGCTCGCTGTGATTGCACTGCTGCCATCCACCGCCTGGTCCAGGCTGTAATCCCCCCACAACGCATCATGCCATTCTGCTATCTTCAGTGGGAGGCTGCCAATTGTCGGATCTAGAATACGTTACGACAAAATCCGTGAATCCACACGAAATTGTGCAGATACCGCCTAAGCTTGTCGCCGGAGCACCTAAGCATGAAAGGTGGAGGGAAGAAGTACGTTGTCGCCCGCGCGGGAGCTGCCAAAGACGGCACAGCTGAGAGTGCGACGTTCCACGCAGCACCAATTAATGTGCTGCACTCATGCGCCAAAGATGGATGGGCGGGCTGCAACGTCTCCGTGCTAGAACCTTCAACGTGGTGCTTCTTTTTTCCTCGCATGCCACGATGCGACCGCTTGGACTTCTTGGAGGACTCCGCCACAGAGTGTGAGGCCTGCGACTCGACGTTGCCATCATTTTGCTGAATGGACAGCTGCTTGTCGTCCTTTTGCTTCTTCTGTGGGGGCTGCTCAGCACTTGAGCTTTTGGATGTGCCTTCCAAAGGTGGCAGGCGCACATCACAGACGGCATTGGTAGCCTCGTGCAGCATCCTTGAGGGCCAATCTCCCAGGCAGTTCAAGATCCCTGCGAGATCGGTCTCGTTCCTGAGAAGGCACGGCCATGACATTTCGAGGCTTAGCTCGTTGCTGATAGGCACAGGGAATGCCCACTTCTTGATCCTCGTCTTGTCAGTCTTCGTCTGGATGAACCAAAATGGCACGCCGACACGGAACAATAACTGCGCGACACTCGCGTCATTTGTGAATGCACCACAGACTGGTAATACATCCCAATCCACACTCTCATGCAGAGTCAGGGTCTCGAGGTGACCGATGATGACTGAGTAGTAGTTCACGTACCCCCACAACTCGAGGGTGAGGCATTGCACATGTGCACCCAGCATGATCGCGTGATTGCAAGAGGTCAGTAAGAGGTGAAGACGGTCAAGGCATTGCACAAGCATCAGCAGGAGCTGCATGCCGGCTTTGTTCTTCTCTGAGACCGTATTGCCAAGCTTGTGTTTGAATCTGTGTGTCACACGCAGGGCTGTCTCAGTGAGTGCTTTGAGCTTGTCCTCCACCAGGAAGCCCAGCTCGGGCACGCGGCATGTGGTGTCTACCTCCCATTCCCATACCCGTATCTTATCCCACAGCACCATCGCATCCGCCTCCACCACGCTCTGCAAAGTCGGGATGCACATGTGGTGGATGACCTTGCGGTCATACATCTGCGGCCACCTCGAGTATTCTTGAGGCCCCCATCGGCCATCCTGCCTCGCGACAATTTGCCCATCATGTATGACTGGGAACTCGGGTATGTAAGTCGCGTTCGGAGTGGTAATCACACCCTCCTCATGCAGTGAAAAGTCCGCGGCCAAAATGCTGTTGAACGCCTTCAATTCATCCGTTACTGTTTCGGATGATCAGAAACAGCTGCTAGCACATTGTAAGTTCTGCCTACCGGCTAGCTCGCCCTCCCTGTCAACAATCACCTGCTGAGATGATGATGCAGTCAGCAGTGCCAATGCTCACGATGTTAGGACGTTGCTGGTCTGAGAGGCTGATGGCCTGAAACGATTTTCGTCATCGATCGCCTGCTGAGATGACGACGCAGTCGGCAGTGCTAACGCTCGTGATGTTGGGTCATTGCTGGTTTGGGAGGCCAATGGCCTGGAACGATTTCCACTGCATGCTGGTGTAAGGTATGAGATCGCTCAGTGCCCGCGACAGGCAGAAGGTTGAGGAAAAGTTTCACCTGATCGACCCCTTGCCCGTTGTCCTGGTCCTGCATTCACCTCACACTCACGTCTGCATCCACGTCTTGTAGACATCCTCTGTTTCAGTGAGAACACATAGTCAGAGTAGAACAAACTCTGAGCTCTGGTTGGCGTACCTCAGGAAACCTCAGCGAAAAAAGCGAGACCCGAGGTTGCTCACACACCAACACAGCAAGACCGGTATACAAGTAATAGCCTATATATGAACGTGCAAAAGAATTAGCGAGAGAATCACTCGAGTACTTTGAACTACAAGATGTAGCTCAAAGTCTGAGACACTTACTGCCGTGGGGATGCAGCTGCAATTGAGCACACCAATAGTTCAGGAACTTACGGGAAAATGGGATAGCTGGATCACAAACACAGCGTTCAGTCAGTCGCCCGCCCGAGGTCTTGAGGTCTTGAGATCTTGCTGACCACCAGCCAGGCGAAGAGAACAATGTCTCTTTGTGCGCAGCTGTCATTCTCAGAGGCATTCGAAAGGCATATGCCTCTCATTTGTGCCCTGGACTTGAGGAGAAATGAAGAAAACAAGAACTTGTGAGACTGAACTCACAGAGAGGAAGTAGTGGGCTACGAGGACGACAATGGACGATGGATAAGACAAGGGAGTCTGTCGAGTGCTGTATACGGCCTACCATTTTAGTTGATGGGTTTGAGCTCCGCACGAATACAATTATCAGCGCGAGACTTAGCCAAATCTCAAGTCTCCTCCAGCCTCAAGCCCTTCGCTCCCCAAGCTCGCGCCTCAAGCGTCAAGCCTCATCTCCCCGACTTTTCACCCTCCCTCCTCAAGCACCGTGGTGCTCCGATGGCCATACGGCCATCGTGAGACCTCGGTATGCATCCGCTCCTGCTGGTATTACCAGCAGTTGAGTGGACGTAGGGATATCGACAACGTAGGGTATTACTGACTCTGGCAGGTGAGTTTTTTCTTCTTCCTCATTGTCTCAACCTTCAATATCATCCCGTTCACTTACACTATGCGTTCAAAAGTTTGTAAGGCCGTTGTTGTGCCCAAATTCACTTTGGTGAGTGGTTTTTCCCTTCGCAGATTACATTTCTCATCCCAAGTTGTCCTGCAGCGGCTCATCTTGATACGTACTGGATATCCCTCCGGGATGTGTCAGGCTGCAGGGCAAATTGTTAGATTGGTTCCAATAGATCTTAGGCCCGTAGTATGTACTTTTCTGTAGCTACTCGATCACCCCAACTTGGGACTTCTGCGGCGGACAATCCGCAAGCTGAGAGATCCGGGCGAGGCATTGCGAACCAAGTCGAATATTTCAGGGCCTCATGACTGAACTGGACACAATGAGCCTCAGTCTCTTTGCACTGTCAGGTAAGTTGTTGTGTCTTCTCGAGAAACGCGTCTAACCAGCGTGGTTAATAGTCGTTCAATGATGCATCGACCGACGGCTAAAGCGAAAGGAATTACTTTTCAATCACCTCAGCGCAAGGTAGCCCTACAAATAACTGAGCTTTGACACTGCATGCCCATGGCAACATGCAGCAATAAAGCTCAGCCACTTGAGGCCAGCTTGCTAAAAGGGGATGGTGGTGGTAGAGAAGGAAGAGAGAGAGCAAGTTGTGCCAGCTCATAAAACCAACTATTTGGCCATTTTTGTTTGGTCATGTGCCCCAGACACCAGACACGTTAAGCACCTTCCATATGCAGAAGGTGCACACTGGTGGCTGAGATATTACTACATTTGGAAATTTTTCGGACTCAGATCGAATTTCAGCCACTGTCCACTAGATTTCAGAAAGTCCAGCCCTCCAAGCATATCACGTGATCTCAATGGGTTCGCGCGCACAAGTCCTTTTGATTGCAATCACTGTAATCTGATCTATCCCTCTCTCTCTCTCTTGCTCTATCCTTGCTGTCTCTGCTCTGCTATATTTCTGTTGCTGTGCCTCTGCTGCTTATTCTCACACATCTATTTGGCTACCTTTGTATATTCTACCATGCACAGCCAGTCTGAGAAGCACACACAGTCTGCTCAGCCTGCCAGTCAGACCTCTACCTCACTAGGCAGGGACATAGTAGTGTAATAAACTATGCAAAGGTCCAAGTATAGTTATAGTAAATGTTATAGTCCAGGTATGAGTTTGTTGGACCTGTGAAACCTGTACACATAGTATAGGTATATGAGGTCTAACTACATAAACCTGCGGAGTTTTTATAAATATATGAGTGAGACTCAAATTAAACTAAATAAATTGAAGCACAAATGCTAACACATATATTCTGTAAGAGAGCTACTTAAACTTAAACTTTGTATGTTAAACTTTGCTCTTAAGTACTACTTTACTTGAAGACATGTCCAGGATGTGTAGTAAACTACACATAGGTACATACATAGTAATAGTACAGGTCATAGTACAGGTTTATCTTTTATAAACCTGTGACCCACCTGTACTATATGCAGGTCTATGTACCTGTATGTATAGTCAGGGTCAGGCCTTTGTACTACAAAGGTAGACCTGTGTCCCTGCCTATACCCCGCAGTCTGGTGTTAGGCAATCTACCTTCAATCTGCACTCAATCCCGGAGAATCCTGCATCTGTGGGTACAAGTCAGGACCAGCATCAAGGTTTCAATCTCGATCAGGCCGATCAGCCAATTGGAGGAGGCATCTCGTACTGTAGATCTGTGCCACCAGCTTACTACCATGGCTGACCTTTGCAAAAGGACAAACCAGGTATGTTTACATGTTTCTAATAGTGAATACGTTTGTCAAGTAAGCAACATTTCATTTGATATTGTGACGACAGACTCTACCCTGCATTCGCCAACATCTCACATGACCCCCCAAGCTGATACTATGTCGCAATTGACTCTGAGTGTGGATGAGATAATGGACATGGATAATTGGAAGCAGTTCCAGTTGAGAGGAAGCAGAGATGACAGGGGGAGCATTGTGTATAGAGGTTTGTATAAAGATGCCAATGAAGATGGTCAGTTGAAGGGGGAGTTTCTGGATGATGACTCAGACAGAGGTGAGACATTTCTAGTAAATCGTGATCACACCGGTAGCCCACCTCTGTCCAATAATGAATCAAAGAAGAGTGATAAATTGGACAATACCAAGGAGGAACATAAGGAGACAATCCACCAGCCACTGAGCTATGCACCTGTGTCAGATGTCAAGGAGGATATCAAGGAGGATATCAAGGAGGATGTCGAGGAGGAGGGCAAGGCCGAGGCCAAGGATGAGGATGAGAATGAGGCAAGTGTTCCTGCTTTGCCCTCACATGTTTTCAGAGCCACCCATTTGTTGGAGTCATACGCAGGCCAAAAGGATGTGCAGCTGCTGCTAAAATGGATGTCCCTCGATGCCAAAGCAGTCGACTCATACGTGATCCTGCGGTGTCTATCACTGCTGCTGTTCATGATGAGAACAGCTTACTCACCTCCAATCCAACTATACCTCCTTCTGCTCATGCTCCTAAGCATCAACATCACAAGGTCTTCCAGATGGCATAGAAGTTTGTGGGGTTGCCAACAGGTGAACATGGCTCACTCGACAATGGTGCATTGTTGAATTTTTGGCAGTGCATTTTCATTCTTATGACATTAGCCCCTGAAATGTTACAAGCCTCCAGTGACCTGCATGTGGGCTCTCAGCTGTCAAGTCCAGTGCCTGTTGTCTCAAATGTCATCTCCAATTCTGATGTGGTGTGTTTTCTCTCTTCAACATATGCATCTTGCTAACACCATGCACCTAGTATTGCTTTCTCTGCCAATAAGGCAGAGACTTGGTTGACTGTGACTGTCCAAACTGCAGCAGAGCTGTTTGCTTGCATTGCATTCCAGATCTTCGACAGTGGAATATGACTGAGCAGATGCAGTTTGAATGTCTGGCCTGCACCATCAAGCGTGACAGAGGTGCAATGCAGGTATACCATGTAGGTTTAATATGAATTCTTTACTCACACAAAAGCTGATATTTGAGGGATCTCAGAGCCTGTATAGTGTCCCATCCACTGAAAAATCTTGGGTACCATTGATGAAGGGTCTTTGGATTGTCGGCAAGCCTGAGATAGCACTGACCGTAAGATTGGATACCTCCTCTTTGGTTTTGGTTCATCTGCACCTGCGCTCGCTGCCTGTGCATGCCATCGCTAATCTTGTGGAGGAGTACCTTCAAGTCTATTACATTGACCGCAGCGAGTTTCTAAATCGGCTGGATGTTGTCTTTGACTTGGAAGGTTCAGAGGCAACAAAAGGTCATCATCTTCATATGCTCAACATAGTGTCAAAACTTTGATCATATGTATTTAGATTAAATTCAGTGGCTCTGAATTACGATTTCTGATGTACGAAGAGAATCATTCTTATAAGCAGTGGGCCTTTGGAGGCTGATCTGAACCGTGATGAACTTTTCCCCAAACTGTGGGAAAATCCTAGAGATAGAACTTAGCTACAAACATTCTAATGGCTCCTCTTGCCCAACTACAAGTTGAGTATAGATGAACATTCAAAACTGTTGTATTGAAAACCAGCGCGACTTGTACAAATAACCATCAACAGATGCATGACTGCAGCACTTTAGATTAGATAATAGATAATAGCTCTATCTCAGGGAACATTAAAATTATGTTTTATACATGTTGTATGAGTTTAATGCATTGTAACCATTATTATTGAATTAAAACCAAAAAAGAGACCTAAGTAGCACTAGAAGGCCTGCTTAGTCAGTTTTCTAATTTGGAAATTGACTTACTAAAGGTACCCATGATTATCTAGACCATGCCTCTAATTTTTCCGCTTTTTTCTGTCTTTTTCTGAGATTTCTAACCTCAAAATACACTTGCCCAAATTGGGAAAGTCAGGAGTCATTGAAGTTACAATTACGATTTCTGAGGTATGAAGAAATCATTCTTGGGATAGGGCTTCTGCCAAAATTCTGAGGGACAGATCAAATGGCCCCTATGCATGAGAACAACTTTTCAATACAAATTTGTATGCATGAGCTACACCTAGTCCTGGGTTAGGTCTAGGGTTTAACTACAAACTTTGTAGTGCCTGTTGTTACTGTACTACATCTTGCATACAGTCGGTCTTTCAAAGTGATTGTAGTGAAAACCAATGTGACTTACACAAATAGTGAGCAATAGAAGTGCCACAGCAGCCACAGAGAATCAATGCATCATAATTAGTGAAATTATAGAAGCACATACTAATTTCAATGCATGAAAAGCAGTACCATTGAACTCTGTGAAGGAAATGGAGCATAATGCCTTTTTAAACCAAGTAAATTTGTGGCTGAGATATCTTAGTTTTGGATTAGAATGCTCAGTCTGAAGTGCAAAAAAGTGCACGTTGAAGAAACAAGCAGAAGTGAGAGAAAATTAAGGAAATGGATTGTAGCACTCCAGAAAGTGATTATTATGTTTTAAGAGTAACACCATCAGATTAAGCTTGAAAATCCGGTCAGAATGGCCACTTGGTTTATCCAGATCCGAGGAGAATTGACTGAACTACAGGCCTGGCAAGTTTGGCTACAAGTGTGGTAACAAGTGCTTGAAGCCGGTAGTGTCACGTGCGACCCAAGTCACGTTTCATACGGTGCAAAACGTGATCTGCAGTGCATGTGATGTGCACATGCTATGGCGGCCGTTACTGGACAAAAATGAAATTTCAGGTGTCAGGACCTTGTTTTGTACTTATGCATCGGTGTTCATTCCTGTGCATTGAGCACGTGACCTTGCATGCGCATTCACCTCATGCATCGTGCATGCACAATGGTGCATGCACTGTTGGTCTCTGCAATATATGTGTTGTGCATTGTCATCTGTTTGTGCATGCATTGCTGTGCATTGCTGCACAGCTTTAATCTCGTCGCTTGTAGTTGACGATGCATGCATTGTCCTGCACTCCTCTGCATAATGTACACCCACAGTCCTGAGCCTGTTGCAGTGTGGTAGCTTCGTTCCAGTCATTCCTCAGCCCTGAACTCCTGTCTTTATTCCCCATCTGGTGTGTGGATACTCTAAGGCTTCAATAACATATGACAGATCGGCTGCACAATATCCGCCGGGCTTATTACACCCTCCATGACCGGGTGAATGTTGCTCTTAGAACGCAGGTGGGCGATGTACAGCGCTTGAGCCATGTACGTTCTGAGGCTCTTGTACTGGCATCTGCAGCTGAAGTGGTCAGTTTACGTGCCTTCTACAGTCTTAGTGTTAAATTTTGATCTGTCTAGCACTGCACTGTACTCCCTCCTGCTGAATATACTCAGCTTCAATTCAACATCACTGCCATCATCGCTGACTTAGACACTGCTTCACACCTCTCATCTGATCCTCCTGACCGTCCTTCTCTCATTGTTGTCCAAAAAGTTCACACGGGCAGGTGTGGCCGACCAAAGATCCTCATTGACCCCACATTCCTCAAGTTTGCGATGGATCTCAGAAAGAACACAGAACTGGGCAACTTCTTCCATTGCTGTTCACGGACTGTTCGCCGTCGTGCTCTCGAGAATGAGCTGACTGTTCCAGGCTTTCCTGTGTATACAGAGGTTCAGGCTGCAGACGGTTCACTATCACATGAATACCACTCAAGCTCTGCCCCTACATCGACAATGTCCGATGTACAGTTAGATCGAGCTGTCGGTGACATCCTGCAGGTGTTTCCAGAGTTTGGAAGGAAAATGATTGATGGCCATCTCAAGTCTCAAGGCCATAATGTACCACGTAACTGCGTTGAGGATTCGTATGCCCATGTACATGGCGCACCAGCAATTTTTGGATCACGTCGTCCCCTGGTTCGACGTAAGTACTCTGTACCTGGGCCACTGTCACTGGTGCATCATGATGGCCAACATGGTATGTATCACTGTCTTCTGGTTGTTGCCATACAAACTAAAGTCTGCCCAGGTCTCATACACTTCAAGCTCATCACACACTGCTTCATTGATGGCTACTCACGCTTTGTCATTGGCATACGAGTGCACAACAATAATCGTGCTTCAACTGTACTCAATTTATTTCTGGATGCGATGGATCGCTATGGGGTGCCCAGTCGTGTCCGTGGTGACCATGGTACGGAGAATCTTGGAGTAGCGCAGTGGATGGAGGACTGCAAGGGATTGGACAGAGGCTCATATATCTGGGGCCGGTGCGTCATTTCTGTGTTTTCAGAATGTACCAACACTGATGCATTTATCGTCTCAACTCCAGAAGTGTCCATAACACCCGCATTGAACGCCTATGGGTTGATGTGACATCAGGATATGGCGAGAAGTGGCTGGTCTTCTTCTACCAGCTGGAGCTACACTGTGGCTGGGACGCTCACAATCCCGATCATGTGTGGTTACTACACCATCTCTTTCTTCGTGCAATCAATGATGACGCACTTGAATGGGCACAGGCTTGGAACGCACACCGAATTTCATTGCAGGGCTCCCGTGCACGCAGTCCTCGTGATTTATTCATGTTCGGGATGATAGAAGAAGGCCCGCGCGGTCTGGAGCAGTTTCTGACTCCCACAGAGGATCTCGCCGGTGAATCATTGGATGAGTTTGGTATTGACTGGAGCAGTTACAGAGATGATCGGCTCATGTCTCACTTTTATGAGCACAATGCACGCGACAGCACCACCTTCACTCCAAGCTCAGCACCTTCCCGCCTTGCACAAGTGGTATGCGATGAGCCAAACTGTCCATTCACTGCTGAGGAGGTTCACGTCCTGGATGCAATCCTGGCCGACGAGTTTGACCTTAGCTCACGCAGTATGATCGTTCAGCGCTCAATTTGGGAGAGAGCGGTTGGTTTGTGTGAGGCTATAGGTCGTGGGGATCCTGTGGGCCATAGTGTTGATTAGACACTACTGCTATATATCATTATCACTTGGTGATTCGTGCACCACACCGACTAAAACATGGGATGGCCCAGATTGACACATCGACATGAGGTTGTCTGTCAATCATCCGGTCTGAGTATAGTAAGTTCATTGGTGCTTCCTTCAGAGAATACAAGTGTTCTCGATTCACCAAATATGTTTGGACGATGGTTTATATTCTATATTCCTGTCTGCTATACTCACCATGAATAGAAGAGTATCCTTTTATTGGAATCAGCGATTGAACTGATGCCGCATATTTTACTCAGGCCTCGGCACCGCCACTCAGTTGGTCCCGTAACATCTTCACTCTTTTATCTGCCCATACTACTCTTCCCTCTTTTTCTGGCACTTTGTTCAACGGGTAATGGCACGCAGTGCCAGTGCGCGAGGTCGAACACAAGCTAAGGCCCCTCAGCATTGTTTAGATAGAGGTGAGCAAGCTGCTCACCGTGAGCAAGTGCTCCAGGCTGGCGCTGCTACAGTGCGACAAGGTGGAGGTGAGGTCGATTTCTCCTCATTATAGGAATCCTCATTAAGTGCTGCACTTATCCCTTTTTTTTTCCTGCTCGCTAGCTGTGATAAGGCAAAGGCAAACAAGAGCCTCCCGCGTCAATGTTGGACTTGCTGGACAATCTAGTGGGGAGGCCTTGGAACCTGGAGTAGATGAAAATTCATCAGGTATGTTATCATAATTTTTTGATGATTATCCACCTGCCTCTTTATGTACGGTGTACTAATATCCTGAGCCTCATGCAGAAAAGAATGTGAACCTTGTGATCACAGCAAGCTCTCCCTTAACAGAAGGTTAATATTGCCTTGACCTTAGTCTTATTCTGTCTCATTGTCTTTGTAGATATGGAGTCAGATGTGGAACTTGTTAATATGTCACGGGTGGAGGGGTCTCTTAGCACAGTGACCAAAATCCCAACTCCCGCTTGCCCATCGCAAAGGTCATCCACACTGGATGATGAGAGAAGTTATGAAGGCTCACCGCCGGCAAGTCAAAGTGGGTTGGATGATAGTCGGCCACCCTCTGAGCCTATAGTTTTTGGTCAATCTGGTTAGTCTTACATGACATGTTGCGACGTTTTACTTATCACTGCCCATAGAAACCACAGATGAATCAGAACAGATGCAGAGCATTGACACAGGACTGAATAGCCAATTGGCAGGTGCGTATGGTGATTGGTCCCTTCCCAATGACAGTTTGAGATTCAAGTGAACCTTATACTAGGCATTATAGATGTCTTGCATATGCGGACAGCGATGTGGTTAGATGATGCGCAGCAGTTGAATCCCAACTCAGCCACCAGGATGACTACCTGGACATTTCCTCCCAATCTGTACACAGACATGACATCCGATGGGTCGCATGCAAGTAACATACTACCCGATGATATGCATGATCATTTCTCTGTCAGTACGTTGATTCATGCCAATATGATGCTAACATATGCTGACCAAGAGTATTGTTCTCTAGCCTCTGAAAGTGAACAGAATCCTTTTCTAATGGCCTTTGAGCAGGGTGATTCACTCGCCTTCATGGATTTGGAGTTATTTACGGGCGCGATAGAGTCATCTTTGTTGCCTGTGGGCCATCGCCCAGATGTCGATCCTTCACTAGATCCCAAGGTTTTCAATAATCCTGCGGCAATTGAGAACATCGCATCGACACTCACCAGTGACTTGCATTGGACAGCTACCTCTGTAAACTACCATGGGCCACCCTTCCTGCCTGCTTCTGTCCCTGCTTCTGTCGAGCAGACTGGGAGTACACTGGCCAAGGCCACTGATCAACGTTCATCCTCTGGCCTCATCGCTGCCAGTTTCAGTGAGACTGCATGCTTCTCTGATATGTCTGCCAATATTGACATCATTGATGCAACAGACAAAGCAGGACCTGTTTCAGTGCAACCTACATTCAAAATTCCACAAGTGGTTGCAAGGAACCTGTTGGCAGTTTGACCAAAATTGCATGTACCACGAGTTGGAAAAGTTCCACGCATGGGGTTTCAAGGGGACTCCGCACCCACTATGGCAAGTTTGGATTTTTTGGACCTACTTTCACAGACGAATACAAACGAGGGTGCGAGCGGGTCTGTGCCATTACAGCATGGTGGTCAGTCAGTGGACGATAGTGGCTCCGCTAGAGCGAGAAGTCAAAGTGTCATGCCGATAGAAACACCTGGTAAGTTGGACTACGTCATTGTCAATGCTACATTGAAATTAAAACAGACACTCTAGATGTCGAAGTTGCACTCTACATTAGCATGCGATACGTGGATCCTAGCGATAAGAAGATGCCTCAGAAGACTTGGTCCACATTCATCAAGTCTTGCCGGGTATTGCAAACACCACCAACTCTGCACGATATCTTTCAGACCTTGCTGCCGGTGAGGCCTCAGCTGAATGGTTATCGAATCACCAATATGCTGCGCTCGATCCTGGATTCAACTAATGTTACGTATTGGGTGGCCTCGTCCGGCACTCCAATACCTATGTCTCATGAGGACTACGACAGTCCTCTGACAGGATACCAGGAGTACGCACCTCTCAAGGAAGCGGTTCATGACAATGAAAGCACACTCAACCCTGTGGACCCAGGCTCAACAGATTACAGAGAGCTGTGTGAAAAGCAGCGCATCTCTCGGGGTACTCCTATCTTTGTGCTCTATATTTTTAATAACCAAGTGGGTGCTCGTGTTCAGACGGATCTATTGCTGAGCCCTCATTTGCATATTTTCATTTTGTCCAGACTGCAGCATCCCCTGGCCAAAGTGGACTTGCAGCGACACCTCCTGTGCACATTGACAATTTCTTGTCTAAGTTGTACCCTGATGCCTCAGTCCAGTTACAGGCATTGGATCGATCTGAAATATTTGGAACTGCATACAAGCAGACCCAGCAAACCCTTATTCTCGCAAGGATTGCAAAAGGCCTGGGCGTGGTGCCAGGTCACAAGGAGGGAGCACAGACAAGTGAGGGTGGTTCAATTACATGGTCTGATGTAGTTGATTGGGCACCTGGGGTGGCACCATCATCAGAGAGGAATATTCGAGGTCAAGCGGTGAAGGTGCGCTCGAGAAACTGGCGCTAATATGACAGGACTGATGCAGTGTTTTGGATTAGGTTTTACAGTTCCGCGCGTGGATCCAAGCACATAGACGGTTATGGCAGCAGTCTCAGTCGGGGCCAGACAACTCTCCGCAAAATGATGAAGAGCTATTTGCATGGGTTCAATTCATAGGTCAGCCAGGTGGCCATGGGGCAGACGAGGTGCTGAATGGTTGGGGATTCCATGAACAGACTGCTGCAGGGATGAAGGCAGCAGTCCTGCACAAACGCATTAACGCGTATTTAAAAAAGAATGCCATTAGGCTGCCTAGTATCAAGCTTACACAACTTGAATTGTAATGCACTCGCACAGTGCATGATGCAATAGACATTACTTTTTCGGGCACGCAGAAGTGATTGTCTGCGCCGAGGTCATCTACTGTCTACGGGTCGAGCCGCTGTCCCTCGGGAAGAGCGACGTGCAGCGGATGTTGTTGAGCCTGAGGAAGAGCATGAGCATGCACTCGAGGCCGATGCTGCCACCGACATTTGGCGAGCAGCCCATCTTGAATGCGTAGAGGTAGTAGCTTATCGATGCGGGGTCGAGGCCCCTCGAGCGCATCTTCTCCGCGAGCAGTGTCACGTCGTGGATCCGCTGTGCCCCGGAGAGGATCTCCTCCCCGCGTATGAAGAAGTCGTACGAGTTTGAGAGCGTCTGGGCACGTCAGTTTAGCTGGGCGGTGAAAAGGTGAGAAGGAGAAAAGCATACCGGGTCGTCGGGGTCAGGCATGATATAGAAGGGCCGGAGTGCCATGGAGAATTTAACTATGATGTAGTAGTCGGTGTCGTACTTCGCGCGGACGATCCTTCCCAGGCGCTTCTCAATTTGGTGCTGGAAAGTGTAGACAGGTTAGCTAAGTTCAGCCGCGACCCGAAACACAACACACTTGATATCGTCCAACGCGTCTCTTGGTACACCGTCCTCCACCAAGAGGTCGACCGCCTCCTTGAACGAGAGCCTGAGCATGCCCTCAGGGCCCTCGCGCCACTTGAACTCCCTCCGCGAGGATCTGCCGGTGGACCGCCGCGACCTCGGGCGCATACCGATGGCGCAGTGCAGAGAACATGTAGATTAACAGCCTGTCGAGCATCTCCATGACCTTGTGATAGTGCTCCTGGATGGCCATCTCGAGATCGAGTCCGGTGAATTCGATCATGTGCCGGTGCGTGTTCGAGTCCTCCGTGCGGCAGATGGGCCCGATTTTGTACACACGCTCGAAGTCTGCCGCGATCGCCATCTGCTTCATGAGCTGCGGCCATTGCGCGAGGAAGGCCATACCTGTGGACAGGCAAGAGAGAAGCGGAGATTGGTGTAGGCCGGCTGTCGGAGGGTGAGAGTAGGGCAGCGGGGCGCGTACCTTTGAAGTCTCCCACCTCGAAGACCGTCGCACCGGATACCGTCGCCGTGCCCTGCAGTTTGGGACTGTGGATCTCGGTGAAGCCCCGCTCGTCGAGGTATTCGTGGAACAGGTGGCTGATGGCATGCCGCAGCTTGAATACGGCCTGGTTCGTTTGCATCTGCAAGGGGGTTCAGATGGAGTGTCAATTATTATTTGGGAAGGCTGACCCTCAAGTCGACGACACGGTTGTTCAGACGTGTGTAGAGTAAAACATGCTTATACTGCACGTCATCGCTCACCTCTATCTCAGCGTCGGGGCACGTAGCATCCTCAACGCGGAAATCATTGTGAAAGGCGCACTGGACTGGTCGAGGCGTTGAACGCGAACCGCGGGGCGGCGGCGGCGGTGCATGAAAGCCGGCAGGCAATGGCAGCGACGATGGGCGAGAGTTAGAGGGGGAGGGGATGCAGCGGCAGAGGACAGCGGGTGGTGAGGGATGCGCGAGCTCGAGAGCGAGCAGTTGGGGCAGGTCAAAGAAGTAGAAAGGCAATCGACGCGACTTGCCCAAATGGCTGCCACGTCACCCAAGGGAGTTCGTTTTCTGGAGCTCCAGAAAATGCATCCCTTGGTATTGCCACCCGTGACACATTGAGCATCACCGTGACAGCGGTCAATCACCTCGTTGTCTCCTGGCCCACTGCGGTCGCCATCCTTGCTGGCTTCGTCTCTCATGATCGACCTACTCGACCTTCTCCTTCTACCTTGTCCTGTTACCTTCTGCTCTGAGCGAAGGTAAGTTGGTGGCACGGCACAGATCGAGGTCACCTTCGCTGCCTCAATGCACTGGGCCACTTGTCCTCCTAGTAAGTCTTTCATCGGCAATCCAAATCTCGATGTAAACTAATGCACGCGCAAAATTCGACAGCTCACTCGGTGCTACAGCAGCCAATTAATGCGCGACTCGACCTCGGGCACCTCCCTCCTCAAAATTGGCTGCCAGCGCGACATCATTACCATCGGACGGAAACGCCGGCCTATGTCTTCTCCCACAACGACGTCTCTGCACGGTAGACACTGCCTCTTTTCGCAATGCTGTGAGCTAATTTATACATCCAGCCACTCTCTCCACGGCCGATGCCATCGCGCGCCAGCTCCTCGCGCGCAGAATTGGCCGAAACGCGCACTGCAACATGGTAGCAAACTGCTACCTTGCATGCTGTCACCCACCTCGACGTTTGAGCGTAACGCTGCCATTCCTCGCCACTCGACACCGTCCCCGCCGTGCTGATTCTACATTACGCGACGCACCCACTCGAAAGATACCGCCCGTCACCTTCTCCGACAGTGCGCGCGTCCTGGGTGTGTGGCTCGTGCAGCTACACAATGCTTACGACGTCCGCCGTGCACCAACCATCTCTGTACAAGAAGAGTCAGTGTGGACTCAAAACGGACGAGGACGCGATGTACGAAGGACACCGACTGGCAGCACAGGGTGCCACACGGAAGTTGCACATGATGACGGACGTCAGCATGCAAACTCACCGACGTCATCAACTCAAGTTCGGCTTCAGTGGTGGCGTCGTTGCTACCAGAGGTGGGGTCTGGCCACTTGCAGCGATACCAGTTAGGAGGAGATGACTGACGGACGTACAGGGCATGTGGAAGGTGTATTCCACCTCCTCTCGTCGACGCTCGCTGACGGCGTGCTGTAGGTGTTGGCGGACAACGTCATCTTGATGGCGATGAACTTGACAAACCGGGGGCGCTCGAGCGCGGAGGTGACCAAGCGCGCTCGCACCTCAGGTGGACAAACTGGGCCAATTCGCAAAGGAGGTCACTCGCGTCAGTCAGGAAGTCGGTACGGAAGGGTGCGCGCATCTCTGTCCTGCATCGTGTTTGTTCCCATTGAGACTGATGTGCTCGCAGCAAACTGGGTGGTCAGGCACTCGTGCTCGACGTGGAAGGCACCTGACGCGAGCTCATGGGCATCGTCAACAAGCTCGCAGCGAACTTGACAAACCAGGTACGGTCCATCGCCAAGGTCACCAAGGCAGTCACGTTGGGTGACTTGTCCAAGCAGATCAACGTCGATGCGCACAGCAGTTGAGCGCGTTCGCATCCGAGGTCACACGCGTCGCATTGGAGGTAGGTACGCAGGGTATGTTGGGGGTCCAGGCGCGCGTCGAGGGCGTGCAGGGTACGTGGGCGGATTTGACGAGGAACGACAATGTATATTGTTTGTTCTCCTGTTTGACAGGTTCCCTGGCTTACTGGTCCCCTCCGCCTCCCCCGGTCCATCGGGACCGACGCTGAACTGTGCAACCGCGATTTGATTGTAGAAAATGGCGACTAATTTGACGGACCAGGTGCGCTCGATATCCGAGGTCACAAAGGCCGTCGCGAACGGGGACCTGAGCCGGTCGGTCAACGTCGATGTGCAGGGCGAGATGCTGGATTTGAAGATGACCGTGAATCAGATGGTTGCCCGCTTGTTGACGTTGGCGAGCGAGGTCACACGCGTATCGCTCGAGGTCGGGACCGAGGGTATCATGGGTGTCCGGCACGGATGGCCAGGCATCCGTGCTGGACGTACAGGGCATGTGGAAGGTGTGTTCCCCCTCCTCTCGTCGACGCTCACTGACGGTGTGCGGTAGGTGTTGGCGGACAACGTCAACTTGATGGCGATGAACTTGACGAACCAGGTGCGCTCGATCGTGGAGGTGACCAAGGCCATCGCCGGTGGAGACTTGATGAAGCGCATCACAGTCGATGTGCGCGGCGAAATGCTCGACTTGAAGGTGACTGTGAACGGCATGACGGAAAGCTTGAGCGTCTTTGCTGACAAGGTCACCCGAGTCGCGAAGGAGGTCGGCACGGAGGGTAAGTTGGGTGGCCAGGCGCAGGTCATGAATGTCGGCAGCACTTGGAGGGTATGTAGTTCTCCACCACCGGAATGGGCACCATGCTGAACGCCGTCATCCGGCAGGATTTCCGCGCGCAAGGGAAGGAGGAGGGGCGACACGCACGAGGCGGTTGACACTCCGGTCCTCGGCGAGGACCTGGTCGAAGCACGAGATCGGCACGAGGAAGATGATCGCTGCCCGCCGTCGGTGGATCAGCAAGCGCACACACTGGGGCGGGCAGCTTACCGTCGACTGCGGGCACCGGAGCGGGGTCAGCAACCGCGGTTACAATGAGGACGTGAGAGCGGGCATGCACCGTCATTGAAGAACGGGACCCAGGTCTTCGCACTGGGGGAAGACTGCGCCGGGGGAATAACGCGTCAGGTGCGGTGCGGGGAGGGAAGGAGGAGGGGGAACACTCATGGCGCTGCACCGAAGGAAAAGGTGATGTGATGAACAGCATTGAACGGCGGTGCACGAACGGGGCCCACCGCGCACAGCAAGGGAATGCGGCGCACGTCGATCGGGCCCGCGGACACTACTCACCTGCGAACGTGAGCTGCCGATGTCGATGATCTGCCACTGCATCCCGCTCTCCGAGCCGGCCTCCATCTCGAACTGGTACTCGAGGTCTTCAGCCGCGCGTTCAGCACGTCATCTGCACGGTCCGTCAGCGTGCAGGGCATCGCAGGCGGACGAACATGCACCGTTCGAGGGCAGGTACTGTGGTGTGGTGATGCGCTCCAGGTCATCCAGGAAGCTGCAGCCGTCAGCACGCAGCGTCCACGACGGAAGAAGCACAGAGAGACTCACAACCCCGGGCCGTCGTCGACGCGGATCCGCTTCCATCTCAGAATCTCACTTAGGACAGGGTCTCGCCAGAGCGCGAGCAGCTCCCCCGCGCAGGCGTGCAGTGCCGCCTGGGCAGCGTCGGCCTCGCCGCCCGCCCCGTGCTCCCGCTCCTTCTGCTTGTAGTTACCTATGTAAAATGTGTCTGTTTATCTCAATTAATGTACTTGAGAATTTAGTCCTTGAAAAGAGGGAGCCAATATTGTGTGAAGTACTGACGGGTTACATGGGAATTGGATGTGCTCGCTCATGGTCGGTGGCCTCATCACATTGTCTCCATTGTCAGATTCTGCGGCGAGAACCCTCTGAGCCTGGCAGCTCATCATGACTGCCTTCAATATTTCTGACTCTGACCTGCTTGCTATTCTAGACTATGTCCGCACTCGCAAGGATGTCCCTCCTCACATTATGGCTATTCTTGAAAATGTGGACAAGGCTTCACTCCCTCCTGATGGTGTATATCCCACTCCCTCATCTTCGCACATACAGTCACCGTTCCCGATGCATGCTAGACCATTGAACAGTCTCCCCTTACCAGTTGAGTACTCTGCTATTCATTTGACATTCTCTGACCTCTTCAGTAGGTACCGGCAGGCTCTTCAGCCCTCCCTTCTATCACGGAAGAGTCAAATGAGGGTGAAGTTGTCCTTGGTTTAATCACCATCCGGGGTGCACCCAGCCCAGGACGAGACTCACCTCCTGTTCAGCCAGGCCCCAGACTCTCACCACCTCCTCAGGCTGATGGACCTCCTGACGTTGAGAATGTCGCTCAGCAAGATCAAGTGGATCAGTCTGAACGCTCGGACAACTCAGATGGCTCGGACGACTCGATCGAGGAACCACTTGCTCAAGCTGTACGGCGTTTGGCTGGCGCCCTCCCACTTCCCAGAGATAATTGCCCACATGGAGGGGTACATCCTCGCAAGCCTAGTCAACGGCGCAACCACCGACAGGGCCAACATGGTGAGCAGGATATGTTCGAGGACCATGATCTATTCGCAGGGGAGGGTGCAGAGGAAAACAAGAATGATGACGATGAGGAGCCTGGGGACCCGGCAGGACATGACAATTTGCCTAAAGGCTCACCGGCAAAGTGGGGTATTTCAGACCTTCCAGCTGCATTGAATGGGTGGCCAGGGAAGACTGCCACCAAATTCCTCTGTGACCTCATCAGTGGTGCTCATGGTAATTTCCAAGCACCGTCGGTCTCTATGTACGTGTGCATGTTTCTGGACAAAGTAATTCACTTGAAATGATCTTACTCCTGAGTTCTAGATGGGTAGAATCAATGAAGGACCTTGTTGAAGGACGATCATGGGATGCTCACGATGGCGCTTTCCGTACCAATGCCCTGTGGGCTCTGGTGAGCCGGGTCAGTCGTGCAGAGAAGGTTTTGTCTGGTGCAGAGTTTGTATCGATGATGACGAAGATTCAGTTGGCGGCAAAGGTAGACAGGTATGTCATATAACCATGCTTTGGAACTTATTGCTGAGTGATTGCAGCATACAGAAAACTCGAAACACGCAGGTCGCGAAGGGCGGGAAGATGACAATGGCACAAGTGTACAGTCTCATTTCCGAAGAACCTGATGCTCCCAAAGAGAAGACGTTCTCAGAATGGGTCGCGTTCGGTCATCGGTTTGCCGCTCTGGCAGGTGCAGGTGAGCTAAATATATTCAGACTCTACATCGCCCCACACTTGTTAAATTTGTCTCACAGGGTCGGTCTATCTACTTATGATCATCGCCGCGCATGGCATGTACTCTCAGATTGGCAGGACCAAGCAGGCCACCATCTGGACCATGTGCAATTGCTTGCGATGGCCAAATCCTGGTAAGTAGTATCTTAATTGACACGACAATGCTAAAACTCCTGCAGACACTCTAATAGGCCAGCATATTCTTGGACGACTGATTCCTCTAGTAAGCTATGTGCGCGCTCAGATCCCTCTTCGCATCTCGACCATCTTTTCGTCTCATTGGCTTCAGGCCAGTGGGCTGTCATCCAACATTGATTGCCGGGATTTTGTATCCTCCGACAAGTTCTTTAGTATGTTCATAACCAAGTACGTCCTTCATCTATGTTGCACTGTTTTCTTTTCTACTGATATACTATTCGATCCACAGCACTTTTCGCTCCGTGGATCGTCATTCAGAATCATGGGCGCCTTGTATGACACCCTTGACTTCTCCCTTAACTGAGCTGGAGCAAGGCATAACTGGCGTAGACCTGATGGTGCAGAACATCCTAACGACAGCATCCTCCACTTGTTCCACTCGACCACCGTCCACTCGAGCACCGTCACCTATGGATGATTCCGACGATGAACATCACGCAACCACAATGGGTGTCTGCGAGAACTCTGATAATAATGATGATCTTTTTATGGTGGACGCTCAATCCAAAAAGTTCTATACACCTGATTCCAGTTCACCTAACTACTTGGTATTTGACACTGATTTCCGTCCTCAAGCCAAAAAGAACAGAAAGGCTCCTTATCCCAAAACTGATCCCAAGGAGCGATTAGTTTGGACGGACGAGCAGCGACACTATGCAGGTGATGCATGGGTTGCCAAGACCTTAGAAAACTTTGAGGAGGGTGTATGTGATCTAGTACCATATGTTGCATCTCACGTTCACTAATCTTGGCTCAGATTCAAGAGCATTACAACAAGGACGGTGTCAAATTCGCGAACTCCTATATTTATCTAAGTCGCTCTGCCTTTGAGGGGTAAGTCTGCACGACTCATCTTGGAATAGTGGCTGATCATCCACATAGTAAGGAGATTCGTCTCAATTCTAAGGAGGGTGAGCTATTGGCCTTCATAGCCAGTGATATGTCGCAAGACATGAAGGACACCCTGGAGCGTGGTTTGCGCTCGGTCATTTTTTCAGACGGTTCTCCAGAGTATGAACTTCAATCTATGGATTCCTCAGCTTCAACAGGGCAACACCAGTTTCCCTGTATTCATTTTTCAAGGTATGCTCAGCATATTACCCGCGTAAGTCATTTTGATATTTGCACTTCAGGGTACCCTTCCGACCTAGCTCTTAGCTTCAACATAATCTATATTGTGTAGTGGCTAAGAGCCTCTCAGGTGTCAGACAGACCATGGTACTAATACATGTCCCAGGGCATTATATGGGATTACCCAGGGCAAAGGCAGGGCAAAGGCTGGTCCAATGGCACAATTATCATATGGGATGTCCTATAGTACTAGGGCATTGATATTTATATCCCAGTATTACTGGTTGTCCCATGGTGCCAGGGGTACATAGGGATGTCCCACTATTAGTAAAAGATGTATTTTCAGGCTATTGTATGGTAGTTTTTTTATACTTTGTTCTACAATCATATTGTATAAGCTCTAATTATAAAAACAGTGACTAGAATACTGTAAATAAGTGCCTTATTTGCACTTTATATATGGTGAAATATTTATAGAAAGCAGGATATCCCATATCAAGTATTGTGTATGCATTTGTAATGTTATAAAGACTATATTACTATTGGTAGCATGTACAACAACTTCATTAGCTCATATAACAACTAAGACAGGTCAAACAACAATGTTTATTCTTGTGTTTCAAAATTAATTTTACATTTTCTGACATAATGTTCAGACTAACATGATATAATCTTTGGCATATAGTATGTATCATAGCTATACTACAACTTTCACCAAGTGTCTCAAGAAATAGAACAACTCAGTCTACTAATATACTAGCAAAGGAGATATATTCTTGTCATGTCTCCTATCATATACTGTATTTGAATGAAAAAAGAAAGGCATTTGACCTAAGACTTCAGTCAAGTCACACTCAGAAATGCATTCACTGAATGACACCTTTGTATTATGGGATGTCCCTTTATGTGATGGGATATCCCTTGTAAGGACCTGTCACTCTTAAACCTTAGTAATTCAACTGTTAGTATAAATCTCTAGATAATTATAGTAGTTAAATAGAAACTTCAGGCTAAAGAAGAGACTAAATATCTGTGAATCTTAAAATAACATCTTAGGATGTCCTTAAAATGGGAGATCCCACCTTATATAATATGCAAATAAAGTGCTTGTTTATATCACTATAGTCACTGTTTTTATAATTAAGGCTTAAATAATATGATAGTGGAACAAAGTATAAAAAAACTACCATACAATAGCCTGAAAATACATCTTTTACTAATAGTAGGACATCCCTATGTACCCATGGGACAACCAGTAATACTGGGATATAAATATCAATGCCCTAGTACTATAGGACATCCCATATGATAATTGTGCCATTGGACCAGCCTTTGCCCTGCCTTTGCCCTGGGTAATCCCATATAATGCCCTGGGACATGTATTAGTACCATGGTCTGTCTGACACCTGAGAGGCTCTTAGCCACTACACAATATAGATTATGTTGAAGCTAAGAGCTAGGTCGGAAGGGTACCCTGAAGTGATATTTGTCCTTATTGTTCTTGATTTGATGATAGAAACACAGGGAGACGATGCACCTACCAATATTCATCCTTTGTTTCTATACAAGGTTGAGCGTGGACACACAAATCATCATCAATTCACGCCGTACTTCTCCAAAGAATTGTGGGAGCATGAGGAAGAGTACGATAGCCTGAGTAAAGTCTTTGAAGAGTTTTGTGAATGGATGCAAGCTAAAGTGAGCTTCATTCTTCTTTGTTATATCGGCTTCTCTGAATGTTTTTACTTTATGAGATTCATCAGCGGCTGCCAGAAGTATACAAAAGCCTTGAAATATTTGCTGAGGTGCTTCCTGGCAGAGAGGTCTCACCCTGTCATCCATTCACTAGCATGGTTCTTAACGTGAACGTTGTTACGCATGTTCATCGTGATGTCAAGGACTTGAAGGCATGTTTAGTTTTGGTGCTTGGTGACCATACTGGTGGGGACCTGTGCTTGGTAGAGCCTGGTCTGGTCTTCCCACTTCGTGCTGGGAACCTGGTGGTATTTCATTCTGGAGATGTCACTCACTTTAATCTTCACTACCGAGGAGAAAGGGCCTCTCTTGTCCTCCATTCAGATGCTGAAGGAAAACATTGGCAGGAGGATCAGATGGGCTGGAAGGATAATGATTATATGGCTGTAGCATAGGACTCAAATGTCTGACTTGGTTGTTTGCAACTTGTTTAGCTGGTGATGCCATTAATATGATTGAATGCATGACATTTAACGCGATGGATGCTCAAGATAGGTAATGGTGAAGTCACGAATATCTATAATCCAATTTATTGAATCGCTCAGAGACAAACTGCTTCAATAGTAAGGTGCCCTAGATTATATTTTATTGAAACCATCTCCCGCCATTAGTGGCCCGTGCATCCATGCGTCAAAGTAGAGAGCATGATCAGGCCCATCAACCTCCTGAAGTAACAGGTTCTGCAAACCTACATCCATCGTGACCTTGCCCTGCATGAAGCACGCAGAATATAATATCGGTGTGATCTACGTAGTGGATTGTCAGGTAAACAGCCTGGACAAGACAACATTAATAATGCCAGCGCATACCTCCTCTGCATTATTCAGATGTGCCCCTCCATCTTGATATGACGAGGCATGGGTAAATGAGAACTGACAAAGAGAAACTGTAAGAAAATGTCATCTTGACTACGGAAGAGATAAGTACTAACCTTCAGCTTCCAGTGTTCCCCCAGGGGCAGCAGGTCTGACCCCGTCATAACTTGGAGCAATAGGCGCACACGATGAACCACATTCTCGTGCTCCTTCATATACATATCTTCTGGTACAATTTCTCTGCGTATCCACTCATGGTCAGGGTGCCCTTTTCCATGCAAATATCGTATTAGTAGCTCTGCAAACCTGAGCTCATGTTGTCGCTCCACCTCGGTCTGTTGATCTTCCTTGTCGTTGCTAAATACCAGGTGAGTAATTACATCATTCACATGGATCACCCGACGATTATACAGGGCCCCAAGCAAGGCTTTGGTACGCCCCTCCATTGTCTTCATCATAGACATTAGCATCAAGGCATGAGAGAGAACATTGGTAAGCATACCTTTCGTATGTCCTGACCGGGACGTAGTTGAAAGTTAAGACCCTCCCTAAATGCCAACAAATCTGGGTGATGCGTGGGATCGATGTGACCCAAGAGGACACGCGACACAAGGGTACGCTCCACCCCATTTCGCTCTGCTTCATCCATACCCTCAAGGCTCAGTGCTTCAATCTGACAGAACGTATGAGTAATATCCAAGCACACTTGTTCCGAGAGAGGAACTGGACGCACCACAATATCAGCCTCTATCAGAAGTGCACCCAAGTCTGTTTTTGGGTCGGTCGTCAAAGGGGAGGTACCATTCCAGTCATACCAAGGCTGAAGCACAGCAAATTGGCCAGGATCAAGAGAAAGTATGAATTCACGATCGATGAGAATGTTAGAGTGGCCATCAATGACTGCCTGAAGCAGAAAGGGAGAAACAGGTTCAGGCCCCTGACCTAGGTTGACAAGATGCATTAGACATAGGAACCCATATGCTTTGAGGATACAGTCGCGAGTCCTGAAATGGTCTGTGGAGCTGTGGAACACAAGAGACTTATATACTCCCTTCTCCACCCAAAAGCGCACTTCAGATGTCATTTGCGCGATGGCATCACGAAGTACTGCTTTCTCGGGAGCTGCACCCACACCAACATTGCTACCAGCATGGATCAGAGCCAATAATAAGGGGCATAGTGATAGACTTACACCTCAAACACTCGCTTGGACGACAGAAGAGCAGCAAGTGGAACAAAACTGCACACCACACCTGGCAGAGCCCTCTCCAGGGCCGCTTCGAATTGATGATAAGGAGCTGGTGGGCTCGCAAAGTGCCATAAGAGCAGGAACTGAAGTGCCCTGGCCGCCAGAGATGTTGTGGAGGCTTGGATGAATACTTCCGTAGACTCATCAATATTAATTGGCAAGTTTGCGCGCACAATATTCTGCCATTCCCCAATGTCTTCTGCTTCAGCAGGAATAAATGGAACAGAATCCCGAGAGATTGGCGGATAGACCTTGATAAACTGCAAACAGTCAATTCCTCTACCGCATATTCCATAGCACCTTGGAACGATTCCGATTAGATGCTGCTCACCTCAGTAGATGCACCTGTGCAAGCAGGTCCATGATGTTGGCCAATGTCAGATGTCTGTCCAACAGACTATTATGATGAGTGCTCTTACAATAAATGGACGGTGCCCCTTACCTCTGTTTTGATAACATCCATACCAGCATTGACATGTTCTAAGCGACGACGGGCACTTGGACGTGACTGCTGTGGTCCAACAATGAAAAAGCCTTGTGATTAACTGTACCCACTGTATTAATGGATTGCACGAACCTCTGACTCATGTGAGCATGTGCGTCTCCGAAGCTGGTGCTGAGGTGTAACTTCCGCAATGACAGCAGATCCTCTCTGGTCTGCAGCTGTCCTACGGTGGTGATTCTAGTTGTCGCTGATCAACTTCTGTTACTCTGTGAAGGATCAAGCCTTACCCTCTGACCATATGCCATGATGCCATCAATGGTATCAGGAAGCTGCATGGGGATTGTGTCAATCATAATAGACCTTTGTGCGAGTTAAGGTGGTAGACATACACTCTCGTCAGAAGAAGACATAGAGTTGTCATCAATATTATCCTGAACAGCCCTTCGCGAAACATGGCTGTCAGGAACTGAGGCCATAGACTGGGAGACCAAATCGTGTGCACAGTCCTCCCGGCACTGAACAGGATCACCACGACTTCCCGCCAGGGACATGACACGTGAGGGAAAACATCGATGCGGACGATTGCAAAATTGAATTGTAGTGTCAACTGGATGTTCAGCCAGTAGACGTTCCAGTGGACTACGGAGGTTCCCATATCTTGGTGCTATCGTACAAATCAATAAGTTCAATAAATTGCATGCAGTAATTGTGCTCTCTCACCGATAAATAAGATGAGTTCAGGGCCATATTCACAGTGGTTCGGTATCGTTTGGCCAAATGGAGCTGACTTCAGCTTCGCAAGTGTGAAGTTGGTTGGGGTCATGTCAAGATAAGGCAGATAGTTCTTTTGACCTCGTCGTCCACCTGGGGTGATAAGCTGTCATGCGAGTGTTGAAGGAGCACGAGGAGTTCCGGAAGAACGCTGGGCAAGCGTAATCTCAAACAGCTCACAATGCTCAATTATCTGCTGGTCAAAGGCATCCCAGACAGGACCATCGACCACTCTAAAGTCAATTTGGAAGAGCAAATTAGCTTGACCAAGAGTGCGCTGAACAGCGGCAACTTGATCTCCATCCCACTTGTATTCGGGAGATGCTTCATCCGGAGCAGAGTAAACAGATCCGCGGGGCTATTGCACAAATATTAGAATTATCCTGACAGGCAGGCAGTCAAAAAGCTCACCACAAATGGCAGAAACCCCACCATAAAGCTCGTATGCATTTCATCCTGCCCGGTGCTACGAGGAGCTCCTGCACTGGTGCTTTGAGTGGTCGCAGCAGCACGAAAGCGCTGAGTCACAGTGGTAGATGTGCCACAGCGTACAGTCGCAGCATTGAGTTCCCCAGAGGCTCGTGCAGCCCGAGAGGATGGACGCTGGTGTCGTTGATAACTTTCGACACGACGATCATTTGCCGTGCCAGGATGCATTGTACGGAGGCCTGCATATGCAGCAATTGGAGGTATCGTGGAAACAGGCAGGGTCACTGCAGGAACGGGAATGCGTGCAACGCGTGCCATACTATGTGCTAGAGTTGGAGAATGCTCTAATCGGTGTACAGCAGAATGGACGTGGTTCCGCCTGCTCCAAGATTTTAGCATTAACAGAGTGATAAGAAGAAGAGAAGACGTACCTTGCCTTGGGAGTACTTAGACTTTGATGCATACGCCATGCAATGCCACACTCACACACAGTGGTTACGGACCAGCTCTCTTGCAACTATTAATCAAGCATAAACCTTGGTAGACAAGTTGTAGACCAAAAGAACCATGCACCGAAAAGAAACCACCACAGCCTGTCTCCGATGAGCCGCCCTTTGCTAATTCCACTGCAGCACCATGACCAGAGGCCACAGCTCGAACAGTATGATAGATCCATCCGTGATCACATCCGGAGCACAGCTCCTGTGGATCCTTGGCTTCCTGGAATGACGTGATAAGAAGCATACACTAGAGCATGAGAGTACGTGAGCATACATATCGAGGGGGTTGTCCTGATATAAGGACCACAAAGACAACACAGCCTTGGCAGTTAGAGTGCACACAATCATCTCGCTTTGGTAGCTTAAGTCCATCAGCAGCGGTCGACATGTTAGACTCAACAGTAGTGGTAGAAATCAAAAGCGTCAACGTACTCTCTTCTCTGGCACACTATGGATGCAGCCTGTGCATTTGATGCATACAGTGCATACAGTGCATGATGTGAATGAGGATGCACACAGTGAACATGCCAATTGGCATGTCTACCAAGGTGCATCCTGATTACTCCATGCTTCCGGACCCGGCCCAGGAATGCATACCTGTGCATGCATGCACAATGCACAACTGTGAGCAGCAATGCACGCGTGATATATGATGCAGAGTTATGCGCACCTATGAACACCAATGAATGGCGATGAATGAGCGTGAATCTCGATGATGCACGGTGAATGCCGATGCAAACCCAAACATTTCATTTTTGTCCAATAACGGCCGCCATAACATGCTTGTGGCTGAAGACAAAACATGCAGAATAAAATGCAGAAAAATCGCAGAAATACCAGGAAAATTATGGCATGACCCTTTCATGACATTAGACTTGTAGATAACTAGACAGTGTTGTAAGACATTGTAAAGTCCTTACAAATCCATACTAGATGGCATATTAGAATATTGTAGTGCCTTACAAACTAATACTAGAAAGTGTAACAGAATTCAAGAAATGGTATAATGAGGCATTGAAGCAGGCTTCCTAAACACTACTAGACATACTAGGGGTCAATACAACACTTTGTAGGCTATTGTAAGCATCTTACAAAGTGACACTAGATGACATATCTCACTATTGTAGGGTCATTGTAAACATGTTCACTAGGACACTTACAAGAGATTACTAGAGACTATTGAAGGTTACTGAAGATTCTTACAAAGTGATGCCAGGTAACATTTCTGACTATTGTAAGCTCATTACAAACTGATACTATAGGATATATTAGGACCCAGTGTCATAGGGTGTTGTTGACTTGCTGAACGTTACTAGAGAATATACCAAGAGTCAGTAGGCGACTTTGTAGACTATTTAATAGTACGGCCCTTATCAACCCACACAACTTATCAATATATAGTGGGACATTATAGGACACTTACTAAACATTATTAAATGGCATACTAGGAGTTAGTAGAGAATACAATAACAATTTCTTGTATACATTGTTACAGGCACATTTGTAACAGTTTCCAGTGTCATTTTTTGTAGTGATTCTTATAGGCACATTTGTAACAGTTTCTAGTGTCATTTTTTGTAGTGGTTTATATAGGCACGTTGTCAACATTTCTTGTAGTAATTCTTGTAGGTGCATTTGTAACAGTTTCTAGGATCATTTCTTGTAGTGATTCTTATGTATTAAGAGTCAGTAGATGAATTTGTAAACCACTGTAAGGCTCTTTAATCCTTGTAAAATGAATATTAATAACTTTTTAGTCATGTTTTTATATAGATTATATAAAATGACATAGTAATATCCTTTTGAAGCCATTATTCAGCCGAATCTTTTAAAATGCATCCTAGCTACTTTTTAGTAATGTTTTTGTATACTTTTTGCAAAACAACATAGTAATATCACTTTAAAGCCATTTTTCAGCCAAGTCTTTTAGAATGCATACTCATCACTTTTTAGTAATGTTTTTATATAGATTTTATAAATTCATATAGTAGCGTTATTTTGAAGCCATTTTTCAACTGAGTCTTTTAGAATGCATACTAGTCACTTTTTAGTAAGGTTTTTGTGTACTTTTTGCAGCACAACATAGTAGTATCATTTTAAAGTAATTTTGAAGGTCATTTTTAGGAGAGGTGTACTAACAATTTTTAGTAATAGTTTTGATAAAAGAACAGAGTGATATTATTTTAAAGCCATTTTTTAGATAATCCTACTCTGAGATACTTAGCAAGATGTTAGACTATTATCAGACAGCGACAAATAAATTATTATTTACATTATACTAGATTATCAACTAATATTAAATGGTAGGTATAAGGTTGGTAGGTGACATAGCAAACATATAATACTCATGTGATAATATAACATATTATTGTTATAAAGTGTGTTGCACACTCTTATATACTATTATAAGATTTTTATAAACTACAATCATATGACATCTTATAAGTAAGTCAAGAGTATAATATTATTAGAAGCTTATTATATATTACTAAGCAATATACCAGTTGTTGAATAATATTACAGACTGTTTTAATGCTTTTAGTTAAAAAGCACTAGCATTTTCTTGTAACTTTTTTATATAGACATATAGATGACATGCTGGACTATTATAAAACTGTTACTAAATATTTCTAAGTGAAATATTAGACAAATAGCATACTAAAACATTGTAATGCAGTTGTTAATAATACCTGGAGTATCTAAATAATATTATAAGTGATTCTAATACTTTATTTCTTTTTAGTATCTGTGTAAAATGAATTTTTACATAAATCTAGTTGAAATAAAAACAGAGTTTCAGAGCTTCAAAAAATAATACGCTAACAAGAAAGACTGGAGTTCTTTACACTTATTAGTATAGCATCAAATGTTAGTAGATTTTTGCCTAAAGTAACTGTTTTGAGTGAATACAAATGATGAAACCTTTAAATAGATACTGAATAAAAATACAACATGCTATGCAATGCAATGGACCACTCTTCACAAGTAATCAACTACTAAGGAGTAATACAAATTGATTAATGCATGTGAGAACAATTAGATGATGAGAGAAAGGCAGGAACACAGAACCTCAGGAATCGTTCCTGCCATGTAAAGCAATGACCCACTCCCCACAAGTCATTTGATATGAAGGATATTGGTCTTAGAATGTGATAGCAAAGGACTGCCCAACTACTACTACACAAACCCTGAAGGTGGTCTGACCTGGCTCATTATAGCTGATGGCATCACATGTGATGAAACCTGTACATATACGCTTGGTGAAGGCCCTAGCTTTAAAACTCCTATGTGTGAAGAGAATTTTGCCCTTTCTGATCAAAACAAATAAAAGATGCTACTTGGCCGAAGTCAAAGGGAGAATCCTATACAGGATACAAATTTCAAGAGTCTCAGCTGAGACAATTATTTTCAAAAACCCTATATAGGGCATCCTCGACCAATGCCATAGTTTAGAAGACCCTATATAGAATAGAAATTCTCCTATCTTCGGCCAAGGCCAACATTTCCGCAAGAACTATATAGTGTATATTCAGCCAAGGCCAAAATTCAGATCTCTCTATATAGGTTGAAATTTGATGACTCCTGACCGAGGCCACCATTTCCACAAGAACTATATAGGATATCTGTAGCTGAGGCCAAATTTCAGACAATCCTATATAGAATGCAAATTTCTTGACCCTTGGCTGCAGGCATTATTTCCACAAAAATCTATATAGGGTACCCTTGGCCACAGCCAAATTTCAGGAAATGCTATATAGGATCGAAATTTCATGTGCCTTGGCCGAGTGGAACATTTACATAAAGATTCTATATAGGTCCACTTGACCAAGCCCAACTGTCTGCAAACTCTATATAGGATTGGAATTTTATGACTCTTGGCCAATGGCACTATTTCAGCTACAATCTATATAGAGAAATGGCGGCCGACCCCAAAATGCCCGACAACCTATATAGACTTTAAACTGTGCCTCCCTTGGCTAACTCCCAAATATGCGACTCAGCCTATATAGCCTACTGATCTTGGCCAACGGTATATCTCCATCCTATATTATATTCTTGGCCAACACTCAGTTCTATGGAAATTTACACAAAATATTCCACCTCAGTTATATGGACATTTGGGTATATATTGGCTGAATGAGCTCATATCCCAAAGTGAATGTCGCTATTTCTGATTCTACACTGGAAGACATTTGAAAGCACGGCATCATGCTTAATCGATTACTCGACAATCTTCTGTCAATCAAGTTTGTACTGATGGTAAATGGGGAGAATGCGACTGGTATGCGCATAAAATTTCCACCAACCACAGTCCAGTAAAGGCCCTTTCCTTTGGTGATACCCATGAAACAGCATGCACTGCAGCTTATATGCTATTCATTATCATCCTTAGCCATGAATTAAGCTACTATTACCACTGCTTATATCACAGAGACATCTGTAGCCAACTCACCAGTGACAGTTGGAAAGATTGCTCCCATTAGTCTTGCACTAACTTTTGCATTAGACCGACTGCGACTTCATTGAGATGGTGAATACTGTGTTTTCTCATAGCGATTTCATTTCAGATACTTCTCCTTTCCATTGCAATTTAGTTCATCTTCACCTATGAGTTTGGCCATCTCGTTGCAACTCTAGTACCTCATATCTGACTTTTGTGACTTCATTGTAGATTGTCACTCGACTTCGTGTATTCATTGCAAGCCCTCGTTCTTTTCCAGGTTGTGTCCTCCTAGGCTTTGATGGAGGTTCTGGGACCCACTTGCATCATTTACAGTGTTGCATCATCCTTCTCTCACACAACATATCCCTCTTGTTTTAGTAAAGTTTAGGTGTTTGTGTTGGGTGTGCGCATATCAACAACCAGCTGGCACTGCTTCTGTAATGAAGTCTGTATGCACTGGAGTATCATCTGAAACTTATGGCCAAAGTTATATACTGTGGAGTATGAGCTACAACAGTT